CATGCGTGCTCGTGATGGATCCCTTCTGGGGCGTGCGGAATCCAAGGGGCGAGTGCTGTGTACTGACCTCAAGCCGTGGCCTGCTGAGCGTGCTGTGGGCGAGACTGTGGCACTTCGGGCATTGGCCTCCGGCGTGCGGTCGTCGGCTGACATGTGGCACGCTCGCCTCGCCCACGTTGGTGTTGACACCATTCGGCGTACTGCAGCTCATGGGTCAGTGGTGGGCTTGGAGCTGGAGAAAGGGGGAAAGTCGGTACTGCCTTGCGTTTCTTGTGTGGGGGGGAAGATTACCCGTCATACCTTCCCTCCCATGGGTGGCGAGGAAGATGAGGTGCTTGGAGTTATGCATGCAGACCTCTGCGGACCCTTTCGGGAGCGGGCCAAGGATGGGAGCCGTTACTTCCTGGTGCTGAAGGATCGGAAGAGCCGGTATGTCTGGGTCTACACACTGGCGCAGAAGAGTGACGCCTTGGCTGCCTTCGAGAAGTGGCTGCCCTTGGCGGAGCGGCAGTGTGGGATGCGGATGAAGGCGCTGCGCTCTGACCGTGGCGGCGAGTTCGTGGGCGCAGCATTCACTGCCTTCCTCGACCAGCGCGGCATCGAGCACGACCTCACCTATCCCTACACGCCGGAGCAGAATGGAATGGCGGAGCGGGAGATGCGGAGCATTGTGGAAGCTGTACGGACGATGCTGCTGCACATGGGTGTGCAGCACCACTGGTGGCATGTGGCGGTGGCGCAGGCAGTCTGGGTGCGCAACCGTGTGGAGCACGCCTCTCTGCCCGATGGCGTCACCCCGTATGAACTCGCCTTCAGTCGTAAACCTGATGTTAGTATGGTGCGCATCTGGGGCTGCATGCTGCAGTACATGGTGCCGCAGTCTCAGCGTGGGGGAAAGCTCGTGCCTAAGGCCCGCAGGGGGTTGCACTTGGGTGTGTCTGCAGTCAGCAAGGGATGGCATGTTTTGGACTTGGAGTCCAATCGCCTGGCCACCACTTCGGAGGCCGTCTTTTATGAGACGATGTCTCTTGCTGGGTGGAAGGCATGGCATTAGCAGGAGCATGCTGGGCAACCACTACCCTATGAGCCCCTCCCTTCCCTCTTCCCAGATGTGCTTTCGGAGGAGGTTGAGGAGGCGGAAGTGGTTGTCCCTCCTGCCCTGCCCTTTGTGCCCATCTCTGTGCCGACCCCTTTCCCTTCCTCCGTGTCTCCTCGGGTCGCCCCTCTTGCCCCACCTGCTCCTCCTCCACCACCTCCCGCATCTCCTCCCTCTTCCTCTTCCCCTCCTGCTATCCCACCTACTCCTAACCCCTCCCTCCCTCCTGCGTCACCCTCCCCTTCCCCTCCGCCGGCGCTGCCCGTCGGTGAGGGGGGTGTGTTGGAGCCTCCGTCTCTTGTGTTCACCGACGGACAGCTTCCGACTGCGGCGCAGCAGTGGGAAATGGGAGTAAAGGGAGAGCTGACGGAGCTAGTGGGCTTGCAGCAGCAGCAGCCGCAGCAGCAGGGTGAAGGAGATTCGCAGCAGCTGGGCGAAGGGGACCAGCAGCCGCAGAATGAAGGAGAAGGGGGAGAGTGGAGTGGCAGTCGCGTATTGGCTTCAGGGACCATTACTCCAGACTTGCGTCGCTCTACCCGCATTACGAGGGGAGTTCCGCCTGTTCGTTATGCATGGGCAGTGGTGGTTGAGCCGGGACTGGATGATGCCAACGAGGATGAGGAGTGGACTGAGCTTGATCCGGATGGGGAGACAGACCCGGAGAGACAGTGGGACATTGGGAAGATGACAGTGACTGAGGCGTTGGGGTGCTGGAAAGGGGACCGTGTCGAAGAGGCAATGGATGAGGAGATGCGGACGTTACTCGAGCAGGAGACTTGGGAACTCGTAACACCACCACCCGGGGTTAACATCATGAAGAATCGCTGGATCCTGAACACCAAGTACCGGTAGGATGGACGAGTGGAGCGAGAGAAGGCGAGGCTTGTGGTCAAGGGGTTCACTCAAGTCGCAGGAGTGGACTTTGAGGAGACCTATGCACCTGTGGGGAGTTGCGTGACAGCTCGCATACTGCTGGCAGTGGCAGCTGCGTTGGATATGGAGCTGATGCAGTTGGATGTGAAGAACGCATTTCTTCACAGCGTGTTGGACAGAGATCTCTACATGGAACAACCCAAGTATTACGAGGATGGGACTCCTCGTGTCTGCAAGCTGCTGAAGAGCCTGTACGGACTCAAGCAGAGCCCGATGCTCTGGTATGAGGCCTTGGATGGGGTGCTGCTTGGGGCTGGATGGTGCAAGAGCCAAGTGGATGAGGCTCTTTACTTCGAGAGCAATGAAGGGGATGAGATGTGCTGGCTGCTTGTGTATGTGGATGACCTGCTAGCGGCCAGCTGCAGTATGGACCTGCTGGGGGAGCTGTGTGAGCTGCTGCAGGGTGCATTTCAGCTGAGAGAGATAAACCCCATTGAGAAATACTTGGGGTTGCAGCTGATACGCGATAGGCCCTCCCGGAAGCTGTGGCTGCACTAGTCGGCCTACGTGGAGAAAGTGCCGCGGCGCTTTTTGGCTGGGGAGCTGCCTCACCGTATGCCACGGACCCCTCTCTCCTCCGACCCATTCAGTGAGCTAACATTTGAGGATGAGGGGTGGCAGTCCAGGCAGGAGGAGGGATCCTTGCAGTTTGCGGCCTGTACCACACGCCCTGACATCGCTTTCGCATGCAGTAAGCTGGGGTCAGGACAGACAGTGCGCAGTGATCAGCACTGGAAGGAGCTGGAGCGGTGCCTGACCTACTTGGTGGGGACCAAGGATGCAGCCTTGGAATTCAGTGGGGGTCCAGCGTCCTTGGAGCTGATAGGGTACGCAGACGCTGATGATGCAGGAGACAAGCAAAATCGAAGCAGCACAGGAGGTTACGTCTTTGTGTTTGGCGGTGCTGCAGTTGCTTGGGCGAGTCAGAGGATTCGTTGTGTCACTCTCTCCTCTACTGAGTCAGAGTATATTGCGGCAGTTGAAGCAGGGAAGGAGGCTCGCAGACTGCGCTTCCTTCTGGCAGAGTTTCAGCTGCTCAAGCGTGAGGAGCCGACGACACTCTTTGTCGATAATTCATCTACGATTGCTGTGGCAGGTGGCATGGGGCTCAAGGGGAGTCTCAAGCACATGGAGCGGCGTCACATGTGGCTGCAGCACATGGTCAAGCGCAGGAAGCTGGACCTGCAGTACATCCCTACCAGCGAGCAACCTGCTGACTATCTTATTAAAGCGTTACATTTCCCAGCCTTTTCCCGTTGCTTTGATACAGTGGGACAAGTGAGGACACATGCGATGGCCTTCACTTCAAGCCCTTTCCGTATTCATCGCTGTGGTGCTGGTCCAAGGAAGCGGATGAAGAGCATGAGGCGTGGAAGGAAGGAGAAAGGCTGGGGTGAGTACGACGAACGTGCATTGGCAGCATTCCGTGACTATGAGCGTATATGTGCATACGCTTCTGGCTCTTCGTAGGTTTCTGCTTGTGATGGTGCCATGGCCTATCCATGGCTGGTGCGGTGTGTGTTTCAGATGAAGAAATATTGCAAGCGTACTGTTGATGCATAGGACTCTTGCGTGTGTGCTCTGTGTTCCTTTTTGGCTTGTATGCTTGTATGTGTGTGCCCTGTGATTATAAAGGGCCTTGCTGTAGTAATGCAGGGGAGTGTTGGAAGCCCTACTGCAGCTGCGGGCAGCCAGGCGTTGACCGACGTATGTCGGTGCACGGATTACCTGGCAGCTGCGGGTTGACGTGACCAAGGTGCACGGACTAAGACTATGTCTACTTTGTGTGGACTGGTCCGGAGATGCTCACGACAACCAGTGACTCTGACGAATCATAAGTAGTCGTGGCTATCGTGATGGTTTTTCGTGAGGAGCAAGGCAGCGTTTGCCTTGCTGGTTGGAGCTGCGTACACGGCAAACCCAACCTTGCTCAGTTGGGTTGGAGAATTGGGCGAGGCGCGTTCGCCCAACCCTTCGGCAAATTCGGGGTGGTTGGTTACACCCGCAACGCCACGCAACTTTGGTTGGGTTTGCACTTGCCTATATGTTTACATGCTTATTTGTACTTTGGATATATATATCTCTAGTGAACTTCTACTCTACTCAAATTTCGACCAAGTACTTTAAGGCAAACTCTGCCCAAATACCGCCAGCGCCTAGCACGCTATTCGAATAGCATTACTCTGTCGGAATCGCTCCACACTTTACCAGCACTCTCGCTGTAGCATTCCTTCACAATGCAGCAACAACAGCAGGGGGGTTCCCCTCAGGGATGCCCCAACACCATGCAGGTAAACCCTGCTTTTACCCCACCACAACCCACATCTACTGCTGCTGCCCCTCCACCCACCCCTGGTGCTGCCATGGGTGGTGAGTCAATGGTTCAAGGCTCTGGTGGGCTGGAGGGGCCAGGGCAAGGCTCAGTGGGGGAAATGCAGCAGATGCAGCAGCAGGGAGGCTTTGGGCAAGGGCAGGCGCAGGGGAGCATGGCGGGAGGGGCGATGGGGGATGGTGGGGTTGGCACCAGGGAGGCGCACATGCAAGGGGGATATACCAGGGCGAGTCAGAGTGAGTTATGAGTCACCTCGTCACCGCGTAATGGGAAGGTTGATGGGGTGGCGTGGTTGCTACTAGGGAGGCGCATATGCAAGGCGGGAATACCGGGGGAGTCTATGTGCAGCGGCCGAGTGCAGGCTGTGGTGGGTTCCAACCTCAATCGGCAAACGCTGGCTATGGTGGTGCGGTGAATGGGAGTGTAACAAGAGTGTAATGAAGTAAGTAATGGCCACTGAGCCAGCTAATCAAGCAGCTAGCTTTCTGTGATGTGGTATGGATCGTCATGACTCGTGCCCGTGTTGCCTAGATGCTTTTCTTTGTTACAAATGCTATCCTAACGTACAGCGTCAACTGCGTACTGTACTGTGGGCTTATGGTTCCTAGAAACATTGACTCCTTGGTCAAGATTCAAGAATCTTGTAGGATTAAGAACGGAGGAAGGGGCGAGAGGGTGGATAAATCTACCTACATATATGTGTGCACTTCATTCTGATTAATCAACTTGTCCTCACGTACCAGTAACACAGCATGGTTCACAGCAAGCGCATGGTGCACTCCTAAGTGTCTGTGTAGTTGATTCCACTCCATAACACATTACCGGTACATTACACAATCGTGCAATTGAAAGAAAATATTTGTGGCCACGCCACATCACCCTTCCCCCCATCGTGTGAGAGTGTCATCAGAGTAGTTGAGCTGCCGGCGGTGCCTCACAATGTCAGACTCGTACCCCCTGCCGCCTCCGCAATTCCACGACCCTGCGAGGAACACATCGGCATGCGCACACACCAGCTTGTCCAGTATTCCCACAATGCCTGCACGCGAGAGAGGGGGGACGGGGATGGGATGGGAGTGGCGCTGAGAGGAGGCCGAGGAGCTGTTTGCATGTGACCTTATGCGACGCCACCACTATGCCGCGGAGCATACACTGAACCTGGTCCAAGGACAACCCTGAGGGACCATCATGGCTTCACCACAACTACACTGTGGATTCACCATGGCCTCCACAGGGAAGAGTGTGAGTGTGAAGGTTTTGGGAGACGCAGCTTGGACGAGCTGTGAGAAGCTCTTGGCTACAAGGGGGCAAGATTGAGGATTCCATTTGTGAGGCGCCTAAAAAATAGACTCCTCACGCAAGATAGCAAAGCAGCTTACTAGTACCAATCAAGGGAGCACTCGGCTTGTTGCAGTTTGGATCCATATTACACCCAGCGAGTAGCTTCTTCAGCAAATCAAGCACTTTCCTTTCCCATTGTGATGCAAAATGCATCAGACTTCATGCGCTGTTGCGAGCACGCACCGATACCCCCAGAGTCCATTGGGCTAAACTTTGGGCTTCCAAATGTACATTTTTTAGTCGACTCAAAAATCACCTTTCCATACCCATTCTGGTTGTCGTAGAATGTGCCTCGGAATGTGCCTCGGAATGCGCCTCGGAATGTGCCTTGCTCAGAGCATGGCCTTGCTCAGAGCATGGCCTTGCTCAGTGCATGGCCTTGCTCAGAGCATGGCCTTGCTCAGAGCATGGCCTTGCTCAGAGCATGGCCTTGCTCAGTGCATGGCCTTGCTCAGTGCATGGCCTTGCTCAGAGCATGGCCTTGCTCAGTGCATGGCCTTGCTCAGTGCATGGCCTTGCTCAGTGCATGGCCTTGCTCAGAGCATGGCCTTGCTCAGAGCATGGCCTTGCTCAGAGCATGGCCTTGCTCAGAGCATGGCCTTGCTCAGAGCATGGCCTTGCTCAGTGCATGGCCTTGCTCAGTGCATGGCCTTGCTCAGTGCATGGCCTTGCTCAGAGCATGGCCTTGCTCAGTGCATGGCCTTGCTCAGAGCATGGCCCTGCTCAGTGCATGGCCTTGCTCAGAGCATGGCCTTGCTCAGAGCATGGCCTTGCTCAGTGCATGGCCTTGCTCAGTGCATGGCCTTGCTCAGTGCATGGCCTTGCTCAGAGCATGGCCTTGCTCAGTGCATGGCCTTGCTCAGAGCATGGCCTTGCTCAGAGCATGGCCTTGCTCAGTGCATGGCCTTGCTCAGTGCATGGCCTTGCTCAGTGCATGGCCTTGCTCAGTGCATGGCCTTGCTCAGAGCATGGCCTTGCTCAGAGCATGGCCTTGCTCAGTGCATGGCCTTGCTCAGTGCATGGCCTTGCTCAGTGCATGGCCTTGCTCAGATCATGGCCTTGCTCAGAGCATGGCCTTGCTCAGTGCATGGCCTTGCTCAGATCATGGCCTTGCTCAGAGCATGGCCTTGCTCAGTGCATGGCCTTGCTCAGAGCATGGCCTTGCTCAGTGCATGGCCTTGCTCAGTGCATGGCCTTGCTCAGAGCATGGCCTTGCTCAGAGCATGGCCTTGCTCAGAGCATGGCCTTGCTCAGTGCATGGCCTTGCTCAGTGCATGGCCTTGCTCAGTGCATGGCCTTGCTCAGAGCATGGCCTTGCTCAGTGCATGGCCTTGCTCAGAGCATGGCCCTGCTCAGTGCATGGCCTTGCTCAGAGCATGGCCTTGCTCAGAGCATGGCCTTGCTCAGTGCATGGCCTTGCTCAGTGCATGGCCTTGCTCAGTGCATGGCCTTGCTCAGAGCATGGCCTTGCTCAGAGCATGGCCTTGCTCAGTGCATGGCCTTGCTCAGAGCATGGCCTTGCTCAGTGCATGGCCTTGCTCAGTGCATGGCCTTGCTCAGAGCATGGCCTTGCTCAGAGCATGGCCTTGCTCAGAGCATGGCCTTGCTCAGTGCATGGCCTTGCTCAGAGCATGGCCTTGCTCAGAGCATGGCCTTGCTCAGAGCATGGCCTTGCTCAGAGCATGGCCTTGCTCAGTGCATGGCCTTGCTCAGTGCATGGCCTTGCTCAGAGCATGGCCTTGCTCAGTGCATGGCCTTGCTCAGAGCATGGCCTCAAGTAATTCCTTACCCCGACCCTTTTCGACCACATGATCCCTACAATGTTTGCGTGGTGTGATGTGCCCACCTCATATTCAATAATTACCGTTCAGTGCCCTAAGTAACATCGAGGTGCTAACGCACAACCACTTCCCTATCGAGCATCCCCGCTTCTCTATCAAGCACCCACTCCCTGTATGCCACTCCTTCCCCTTTGCTCCCTGCAAAGGGGTTCGCTTCGTTCGACTCCATCACTGAGAAGCCGGCACTCTGCGGGCTCACGTGCCCAGTCCCCTCCCCAGCCTACTCCAAGTCCGCGGGGCCTCGTCTTCGCGCCTTCCCCAGGATGGGATCCTCCCAGAGGGACTCTCCCTTGCTGCCCACGGCGTCCAGGTGCTGGGAGGCCATTGGGACTCCGGCCTTTTGCTCGGGGTACATCGGCAGCACTCTCGTTGACTCGGTTGCTCCCCTCGGCCCCCTCCCCCGGCTCGCTCTCTCTCCTGCAGCTCTCCCACTGCGTCAGCCGCCGGGTGACGTTCCTTGAACGCACCTTCCCAGTGCATGCCCCACCAGTCCCCGGGTAGCCTGATTGGAGCTTGCAATGGCTCTCAGACACCATCGCCGCCCTCCTCCCACCCGTGTCACCCACTCCGACACCATCAGGGACCTCGAAGCCTGCCGCTCTGACAGGCGTCGGCAGTCCTTCCTAGAGAACCACGTGGGCCGTTACCAAGTGTCAAGACCACCTGGAGCGCCGCCTCTCGCTGGAAGGTCACGCCTGCAGCGCCGGCGCCCTGCTCACGGTGAGGACGCTAGAGGCGTTGTCTACCATGGCCTGCCAAGATGGCCCGTGCAACGCCCACCTGGCGTTCCACCTGGGGAAAGCCATGTGCTCACCTCGTAATGACCCCAAGAAGGTGCGCATCATTGCACTCAGGAGGACCAGAGAGACACCGGACTCAGGATAAACTAGGATAACAGAAGTGGGGTTCAAGGGAAATCAAGGTCGTAACATGTACTCAGACGGATGAGCCCGCAAGTGGCCGGTTTCACATCCTAGCGCCGCCAGACATTTCCTAGGGATGGCCGTGGCAGCTAGCTAGGATGTGTGCCTTTCGCCAGACATTTCCTAGGGATGGCCGTGGCAGCTAGCCGGACATGAAAAGATGGGACTATTCAATGCATGCTTTGTTCAGCCGCACCTACCATGTGCACCTTGTACCACGGTTCTCTGCAATACAAGGACCTCTACGCCACTTTGGAGGAAGATGACCCCTAGTTGGGGCTGCAGGGGAGGGGCGAAAGGCTGTGGGAGGGGAACATCAGGGCTGAGGCCTTATGATAGGTTCTGGCTAGACAACACCAGAAAATCGCAACTGTCTCCTCACGATCCCCCTCTTCCCCTCCCTATGGCTCGCACCCCCTCACTTCGCCATAGCCCTGGCCTTCCGCCTCGGCCTCCCATTCCCCACGCCCAAGGCATGCAACTGCGCCAAAAGGGCGGGGATCCTGGACCCCAGGTTCCCAAACCTCCTACTCTGCTGCGGGACAGGGCACGGCTGCACCAACACCCACAACGCCCTCCAAAACGAGTGCATCTGCATGGCCCGGGATGCACAGCTCATCGTCACGACGAACACAGTGATATACAACCCGGTCGCAACCCGGTCGCAGGGAAAACCGCTGACCTGGCCATCCGGGACCAGGACTCCGGGGCAGTCTGGATCTGCGACATTACCATCACCAAATCAGTCGGCTCCCCAGACCCGCTAGCCTGCAAGGGCCGAGGCTACCTGGCCAGGGAACAGGCAGACAAGAAGATAGACGACTACCGCCACAGGGCGGCATACATCGGGTTCTTCCCGTTGGCCGTGGAGACATACGGCTGTCCATGCGCCGGAGTACCCACCTTCCTCAAGCTACTGGCACACACGGCTGCCCGCCGCTTTTTAGACGTGGACCCCAGCTTATACCAGGCGGCCAAACTGCTCAGTCAGTTTCGCCAGCACTGGTCCGTCACCCTCCAAAGAGGACAGGCCCTCACGTACCAGAGGGAGTTGAACGAGGCCTCGCCGCTGGAGTGCCCCCGCTGTGGGCGCTCCTGATGCCGGCATGTCACTGCGGGACGGCTTTGCCGTGATTGAGCCCCAGGGGGGAGGTGCTGTAGGCTACAAATCCTGCTTGCCCCGACACACTTGCTTATCCTCACCTTACCTGCGTAGCTTGTGCCCAGGTTTCCAGTTTTAAGGTGCCTCAAAACTGTACCCAGGTTTCCAGCAATGAAAGACCGTTCGAGAGAGATCCACCTCACCTGGGTCGAGGGTATTGACATGCGGCATGAGCTCGTCTATCATGACAGTGCCATTCACGTTCTCCCGCAGCCGCCGCAGAGCAGCCAAGGGCAGCTGAGCCACCAGCTGGTCGCCCCCATATGCCTGCACCGTCTCCTCCCATGAGTCCGACCGGGCCGGTGTTGTGGACGCATTGAACGGCACGTCTGCTGCGATGAACACCGACACCCTGCTGCTGCCGCCGCCGCCGCTGCTGCTGCTGCTGCTGCTCGTGCCGCCGCTACTGCTGGGAAGATCCCCGCTGTTAGCGGCCGTAGTAGAAGCAGCAGGCGCAGCAGAGGATGGGTGGGTGAGGGAGGCCTTGACTTGCGTGATGAGATTCTCCGCCTCCCCACCGCACCACTCCAGCCTCTGCTGCAGCATGGACGCGTTCGCCTTCTCCCCTCCGGCACTCGTGTCATCTTGCTGCAAGGGAACGGTATGGTGCCAGGTGGATAAGACAGGAGAGAGGAGCAAGACAGGAGAGAGGGGCAAGACGGCGCAATTGGTCATCTCTTCTTGCACGAGAGAGGACCTTGAGTGCTGCAGATCAGCGCCGAACTGCAATTGCGTGGGATAGGGCTTCCATGACAGGGAAGGAAGCTTGCCACCCCCTCTCAGGGGTCCATGGTAACTGAACTCTACATGTGCTCTGTAACAGGAGATTGCCCACCACCACTCCTGCTCTCAGCCTGCCTGCTGCATACCCTCTCCCTGCTTCCATTCCCCCCCCCCATCTTCTTCCTCCTCCCCCTCCCCCCCCCCCCAACTCTACCTGGCTCTGAGCTCACCACGAGGAAGAAAATGTAATCGGAGCGCAATTGCGCTGCGAGGGGGAGGTGGGGGCGTCCGTGGCACAGAGATCGTCCCTTCCCCTGCGATACACCCCCGCCTCCCTGGCGAGCGCACTCACCACGCGGATGGCACTGCACTCACCACGCGGATGGCACTGCACTCACCACGCGGATGGCACTGCATTCACCACGCGGATGGCACTGCACTCACCACGCGGATGGCACTGCACTCACCACGCGGATGGCACTGCATTCACCACGCGGATGGCACTGCACTCACCACGCGGATGGCACTGCACTCACCATGCGGATGGCACTGCACTCACCACGCGGATGGCACTGCACTCACCACGCGGATGGCACTGCACTCACCACGCGGATGGCACTGCACTCACCACGCGGAAGGCAACAAACTCGGAGCGGAAGTGCATGGCGATCAAGGGGCGCGGCAGCAGGGCGAGCAGGCGGGCGGCGGTGGCGTGGTGGTCGGAGCGGTAGGGCAGCAGTGGCAGAGCGAGGTCGTCGGAGCTGCGGTCAAAGTGCACGCGCTCCCACGTCGTTTTGAACCACACCACTATGTCGCGCTCGCGCCTGAAATAGGTGGACAGGTGCAGCAACATGAGGTGTGGTGATGGGGTATGGTGATGGGGTATGGTGATGGGGTATGGGGTATGGTGATGGGGCATGGCGATGGGGCATGGTGATTGGGCATGGTGATGGGGGTGGAAATGTACCCGCTCCCACGTCGATTGGAACCACACCACTATGTCACGCTCGCTCCTGCTGCGGTGGGGATGGATGGGGGCATGGAGTGGGACATGGGGGTGGCACAGTAAGGCAGGAGGGTGGAGGGTGGAACAGCATGCGCTCCCACGCCGTCTTGAACCACACCACTATGCTGCGCTTGCTCCTGCCGTGTATGGGCATATGGGCATGGCTTGTGATTCTCAAGCTGCTACTACTACCTATTCAGGTCAGGAGAAATATACGATATTAATTAAAGTTATTTACTCTTGACGAAAATACGGCTACGGATTCTGCAGGTACTGCCGCAGATTCAAGATTTCTACATGAATGGATATGGGTATGGGCATGGGCATGGGTATCGGTACGGACATGTTTTTTGGTATGAATATGGGCGTGTGTACAAGTAGGGGCATGGTCTTGGGGTGGGGTTGGGTATGCGGATAGTTTATGTGGCGGCAATGAGCACTGCCATGGGAAGGCACAAGCAAGCATCATGGACATATTTATATTCATTACAGTGCACAACGAAATCAGGAGTAGAAAAGGGCGGATGGCTGCCTATTGGCTCGGTTTGGGGCTTGTTTCTGCATCGCTACCCTCCTGCTTGCGTCTGACGCCTTCTGACGCCTCCATCGCTGTTGCCAAGAGCCCCCGTCAATTCTTCCTGCACCTCCACCCCACCTTTGACTTTTGAGTCGACTTAAAAGCCGCCGTCATTTTTTGAGTCGACTCGAAAGCCGCCGTCATTTTTTCCAGTCGACTCGAAAGTGCCGCTCAAAGCATTTTTGGTGAGGCGGAAGTGCCGCCGCCATTTTTTGAGTCGACTCGAAAGCCGCCGCCACTCCTTCCAGTCGACTCAAGACCCCCCCTCCTTCCTTCCAGCTTCTGCCTCACCTTTGCCATTCCCCCTGCTTGTCGCTTCCCTCCCCATGAAAACCCCACTCCTACCACCTCACCTCCTCAACCCGGTGCCACTCCAATGACTCAAAACCCAACCACCCACGTCCACCAATCACTACAACCTTCAATTCCCCCCCCCCCCCCCCCGCCCAGCCAGTGTTGTTGCAGCCTCTCTAGTCAACCACACTCCTCCGCCATCACCTTAACCAGCTGCATTCAGCAACCTATTGAGCACACAGTGCACAAAGAACTAAGGAGTAGAAAAGGGCGGATGGCTGCCTATTGGCTCGGTTTGGGGCATGTTTCTGCATCGCTGCCCTCGTGCTTGCGTCTGACGCCTTCTGCCGCCTCCATCGTTGTTGCCAAGAGCCCCCGTGAATTCTTTCCTGCACCTCCGCCTCACCTTTGACTTTTGAGTCGCTCAAAAGCCGCTGTCATTTCTTAAAGCACTTCTGCTTCACCTTTGACTTTTGAGTCACTCAAAAGCCGCCGTCATTTCTTAAAGCACTTCCGTCTCACCTTTGACTTTTGAGTCGCCTCAAAAGCCGCCGTCATTTCTTAAAGCACTTCCGCCTCCACTTTTGACTTTTGAGTCGCCTCAAAAGCCGCCGTCATTTCTTAAAGCACTTCCGCCTCACCTTTGACTTTTGAGTCGCCTCAAAAGCCGCCGTCATTTGTCATTTCTTAAAGCAACCTCTCTGCCAACCAGCTGCATTCAGCAAACTCTCTTCCAACCAGTTGCATTCAGCAACCTCTCTGCCAACCTAACTTGGAAAAAACGCTAAAGTTTGATTGCGTATTGCGTTTAAACGCACAGAAAATACGTACGCTACGTTTTTGGCATAGATATGCCGAAATACGCACGGGCTGACCGAGAAAAAAGAATCGTGACATTTTGCGAGGAAACATATTTTTGGCTTCGCACATCGCGAACTCAACTTCGAATTTGAATTTCGAACCCGCACCAACCCCCCCTTTGAATCTCTGTCCAACACACTCCACCTCGTCACTTCCCAATCCCTCCCAACTTATCCCTGAGAAGATGAGTTGGCCTCAAACAGAATCAGCTCTCTTAGCACAAATTAGAGCCATTTCAACATTAGACACTCATTCGCGCAGTTCCCTTCCTTCCGTAGCTTGCCCGCCACCATGACTTCCAGCCCTACAGCATCACCCTCTCCCCCTTTTGCTGAGACACCCCGTAGTTTAGGCATGAGCAAAACCGGGTATTTACCCGACCCGACCCGGTTTTGCTATACCCGACTTCGGGTCGGGTATTTTCGGGTCGGGTACGGGTCGGGTAACATGCCCAGGACCAATACCCGGACCCGGGATTTGGGGGCGGGTAATTTAATACCCGCCTGGCGGGTCCGGGTATACCCGACCCGGTTTCCTTGAAAAGCGGGTAGTATTACCCGCGTTTTTCTACCCTGTTGGGCTACTAAGCCTACGACCTAGATGGTGCTTCAAAAAACGTGAGCTGCGGGAGGGAGTATGAGGTGCGCCAATCTTTAACAGTTCTGGTGTGGTGAGTGGGTCGTGAGTGGGGCCTGAGTGGGGAGTTGGTTGGGTTTTCTAGTTGGAATGGGGTTGTGTGCGGTTTCTGGGGGTTTGATTCTTTGACCCCCAGAGTCAATTGGTTGGAACTCCAACCAATGTGGTGCTGTGCGGTTGGCTGGATTCAGGTTGGGTTGCAAAATCGATTGGGGAAATTCGATTGGTTTGACTTCCAACCAATTCCCCCCAATTCAACCACTTTGAATGCATCTGTATCTACGAAACCCAACCCCTGCCAATCTACAATGCTCTAAGTGACCTAGCAGCTCACCTAACCTAGAAATTTGATGAAATTTCTCTACCAGCGCGACTAATGTCTCGCTGGTTCCATCGGGTAGACCGCTACCCGATTTCGGGTCGGGTACCCGCTACCCGACGCGTCGGGTAGCATTTCGGGTAGCGGGTATTGATACCCGCCCCGGGTAACCCGGACCCGACCCGCCGGGTAATTTTCAGGTTTTCCGATACCCGACCCGCCCTAAAAGCGGGTCCGGGTACCGGGTACCCGACCCGGGCAGGTAGTTTGCTCAACCCTACCGTAGTTCCACCTGCCCAGAAAAGTTTTTTCCCTGCCCGGGTCACCGTATTCTGTGCGTATCCGACCCCCTCCTCCTAAGCGTATCGCGTTTATACGCTCTCGTATAAACGATTTCGTATAAAACGCGATACGCGTATATTCCAACTTAGCTGCCAACCAGCTGCATTCAGCAACCTCTCTGCCAACCAGCTGCATTCAGCAACCTCTCTGCCAACCAGCTGCATTCGGCAACCTCTCTGCCAACCAGCTGCATTCGGCAACCTCTCTGCCAACCAGCTGCATTCAGCAACCTCTCTGCCAACCAGCTGCATTCAGCAACCTCTCTGCCAACCAGCTGCAACGCAACCCCTTAGTAGACTATCCACTTCCCATATATGTGTCACCACCAGGGTGACCCGCTAGGGGTACCACTGCCCATGCATCACCACCAGGGTGGCCCTCTACAACCCTGCCTTGACGGCGCAAGGAGCAAGCTTTGGGAACAGCAGCCCCATTCCCCCTCGCCTTCCATTCTCAGGGGGACTGGACCCGTAGTCGTGGGCGTCCACGGGCCGAGGGCCGGCCTGACTCGGGCCCACCTTCCCTTCCACCCTAAGGTGAGCCCGAGTCAGGCGTCGTGTAGGCTGACCCAGCTCTTGTCCCATACACGACGGTCCGGGCCGGGCCGGCCTCTGGTCAAGCCTACTTCCACGCCCCCACCCAGTTCTACCCGGCCTTACCAGGAGCACAGCACCGTCTCATTCAAAAGCCGGGCCTAGGCAGACCAAGCATGCAACTGCATGCTCTGCACAGAACTTCCACGCAACACAACAAGTGCCATGCGACGTACCACGCCTGTAACATGCGTGCGAGGTCGTCTTTCGCCGCTGGCATTCTCACTTGCAGGGTGTTGCTTTCCAGGGGCACGTGTCCAGCTGAAAACGCCAGCAGCTGCCCGAGGAAATCGGTCACCCTATCTGGAACAAGGGAGACCGCAGAGAAAACAGAGGAAAGCAATCCTCGTGCAGATAGGGTGACTGATTTCCTCTGCACATGAGGAAGACCTACGGATCATTCCAGTGAGAAGATGAGCTCTGGTCTGAACCAAGAACAGAGTCGTCCAGTGAGTGGTTCATTCAAGAGCAGCGCATTGTGGCCAGCTGGCGCTAGTGAGCCAGCGCAGCGCAGCCCAGCGCAGTGAGAGACTCCCTCGGCAACGAGTCCGGTCCAGATCCTCCCTCCCCTCCCTGCCTGCCGCCTCCCCACCTACTCAGCAGCACAGAATCACCAAGTCGAATGGACTCAGCAGGTGGAATGGACTCACCAGGTGGAATGGACTCAGCTGGTCGAATGGAATCATCTCGCTACACCCCTCCCCCGGGACCCACACGCTAAGCTCCACACGTCCAAGCTGGAGGCGGAATGGAATGACTCAACGGTGAAAGAGAAGAGGAGGAGGTAGAGAGGGCCGTACCATTCGTTCCCTCACCCGTACGTACCATAGTGGAAGACAGTGCGATTGAGGTACGGGGACTCCACCCACACGAACCCAACAGAGGGGTTGGCGAGAGTGGCGCGGGCGAGTAGGAGGAAGAAGTGCGGCGACACCCACTCATACTCAGCTGAGAGCTGAGAGAAATCCCAGTAGGTGCAGAGGGGCAGGGCTCTGCCCAGCGATAGATGGCTGCGGCTGGCCTGCCGTGATGTGGGATGCGGTGGGATGTGCGGCGAGTTTGGAGGCAGACGGTTGGTTGGGGGGAGGGGGAGGAGTTTGCGGGTGGGGTTGAGGGGTGGGGAGGGTGCCTCCGTACGTTTCTTAAGGCGTAATAGAAGGTTACCAGTCGCAATCACATGGTACAGCACGGGTCATCTGGTAACGCGCAACACAGAACGCAACACACACGCGTTAAGGACTATTCACGCACCACAAGGCAAGGCTCAAGACCCACTGGCAGGGCAGGCAAGTTCTATCAGAGTGAGAGAGCAAGATAAAGAGTGACACATGGGTCCAACCGCACATTAAAGCGCACACCCCGCACATAGGCATGAGCATAGGCCCAGCCCGGCCCGTTTCTGGTCGGCCTGCCCGTACCCAGGTTTAGGGGTCGGGCCGACCTTGGCCTGGGGGCGGGCCAGGGCCTGCCAGGGGCAAAAACAGGGCCGGGGGCGGGGCGAGGGGGCCCAGGGGCGGGCCGCCAAAGGTCAGGCCGAGAGCAGAAAATGGGCGGCCCGTCCCATAGGGTAGGGTACGGCACACGCCACAGGCAACAGCACCGAACCCGCACATGCCATAGGGTAGGGTATGGCACACGCCACAGCAACAGAACCCGCACATGCCATAGGGTAGGGTATGGCACACGCCACAGGCAACAGCACCGAACCCGCACATGCCATAGGGTAGGGTATGGCACACGCCACAGGCAACAGCACCGAACCCGCACATGCCATAGGGTAGGGTATGGCACACGCCACAGGCAACAGCACCGAACCCGCACATGCCATAGGGTAGGGTATGGCACACGCCACAGGCAACAGCACCGAACCCGCACATGCCATAGGGTAGGGTATGGCACACGCCACAGGCAACAGCACCGAACCCGCACATGCCATAGGGTAGGGTATGGCACACGCCACAGGCAACAGCACCGAACCCGCACATGCCATAGGGTAGGGTATGGCACACGCCACAGGCAACAGCACCGAACCCGCACATGCCATAGGGTAGGGTATGGCACACGCCACAGGCAACAGCACCGAACCCGCACATGCCATAGGGTAGGGTATGGCACACGCCACAGGCAACAGCACCGAACCCGCACATGCCATAGGGTAGGGTATGGCACACGCCACAGGCAACAGCACCGAACCCGCACATGCCATAGGGTAGGGTACGGCACACGCCACAGGCAACAGCACCGAACCCGCACATGCCATAGGGTAGGGTACGGCACACGCCACAGGCAAGAGCACCGAACCCGCACATGCCATAGGGTAGGGTATGGCACACGCCACAGGCAACAGCACCGAACCCGCACATGCCATAGGGTAGGGTATGGCACACGCCACAGGCAACAGCACCGAACCCGCACATGCCATAGGGTAGGGTATGGCACACGCCACAGGCAACAGCACCGAACCCGCACATGCCATAGGGTAGGGTATGGCACACGCCACAGGCAACAGCACCGAACCCGCACATGCCATAGGGTAGGGTATGGCACACGCCACAGGCAACAGCACCGAACCCGCACATGCCATAGGGTAGGGTATGGCACACGCCACAGGCAACAGCACCGAACCCGCACATGCCATAGGGTAGGGTATGGCACACGCCACAGGCAACAGCACCGAACCCGCACATGCCATAGGGTAGGGTACGGCACACGCCACAGGCAACAGCACCGAACCCGCACATGCCATAGGGTAGGGTATGGCACACGCCACAGGCAACAGCACCGAACCCGCACATGCCATAGGGTTGGGTATGGCACACGCCACAGGCAACAGCACCGAACCCGCACATGCCATAGGGTAGGGTATGGCACACGCCACAGGCAACAGCACCGAACCCGCACATGCCATAGGGTAGGGTACGGCACACGCCACAGGCAACAGCACCGAACCCGCACATGCCATAGGGTAGGGTACGGCACACGCCACAGGCAAGAGCACCGAACCCGCACATGCCATAGGGTAGGGTATGGCACACGCCACAGGCAACAGCACCGAACCCGCACATGCCATAGGGTAGGGTATGGCACACGCCACAGGCAACAGCACCGAACCCGCACATGCCATAGGGTAGGGTACGGCACACGCCACAGGCAACAGCACCGAACCCGCACATGCCATAGGGTAGGGTATGGCACACGCCACAGGCAACAGCACCGAACCCGCACATGCCATAGGGTAGGGTATGGCACACGCCACAGGCAACAGCACCGAACCCGCACATGCCATAGGGTAGGGTATGGCACACGCCACAGGCAACAGCACCGAACCCGCACATGCCATAGGGTAGGGTATGGCACACGCCACAGGCAACAGCACCGAACCCGCACATGCCATAGGGTAGGGTACGGCACACGCCACAGGCAACAGCACCGAACCCGCAACGTGGCCCACATCGCTTACATTGGGCAGAACGAGGATGCGGTTGGCCATGCGGGCAAGGCGGGCTGCCTCGACGATGTGCGTGCGCGCGTTGCTGAGCTGCTCCTCTGACATGGCAAAAACCAGGTACTTGCGGCGCGGGAAGTCCTGATGGGGGCGAGGGAGGGGCGAGGGATGGGCGAGAAAGCAAGCACGGGCTGGCTTTTGGGTGGTCAGAAGACGCTTGACTGCTGAGCTGCTCTGCTCCTCGGACATGGCAAACACGAGGTACTTGCGGCGGCGAAAGTCCTCATGGGGGCGCGGAAGCAAGCAAGGGGTGAATTTCGAGTGGTCAGAAGACACCTCAGTGCTCAGCTGCTCTCTGGCATCGCGTGATAAGAGTCTATTATTGAGGTGCCTCAAATCCAGAAGACACCTCGCTGCTGAGCTGCTCCTCTGGCATCGCGAGCGGTGCAGGATCGGATAGCGTGTACGGAGGGGGGGGAAGGTAACCTGGCTGTGGGGGGAGGGTAAACCTGGTGATGATGATGATGATGATGATGATGATGATGATGATGATGATGATGATGATGATGATGATGATGATGATGATGATGATGATGATGATGATGATGATGATGATGATGATGATGATGATGATGATGATGTGCGAGGAATGCGTCGAAGGGTGGCAGGTGAGTTGTAATAGGAGCTCAGGGAGGGACCCGAGGGGGCTGGAGGAGAGGATGGCAGGCGGTGGAATCAACGGTGACTTTTGAGTCGACTCAAAAGGGACCCGAGGGGGCTGGAGGAGAGGATGGCAGGCGGTGGAATCAACGGTGACTTTTGAGTCGACTCAAAAGGGACCCGAGGGGGCTGGAGGAGAGGATGGCAGGCGGTGGAATCAACGGTGACTTTTGAGTCGACTCAAAAGGGACCCGAGGGGGCTGGAGGAGAGGATGGCAGGCGGTGGAATCAACGGTGACTTTTGAGTCGACTCAAAAGGGACCCGAGGGGGCTGGAGGAGAGGATGGCAGGCGGTGGAATCAACGGTGACTTTTGAGTCGACTCAAAAGGGACCCGAGGGGGCTGGAGGAGAGGATGGCAGGCGGTGGAATCAACGGTGACTTTTGAGTCGACTCAAAAGGGACCCGAGGGGGCTGGAGGAGAGGATGGCAGGCGGTGGAATCAACGGTGACTTTTGAGTCGACTCAAAAGGGACCCGAGGGGGCTGGAGGAGAGGATGGCAGGCGGTGGAATCAACGGTGGGCGACAGAAAGTAGGCCACGCTAGATGACTGGCTGGAGCTCGCATGGCTCGCATGGCACGGCTCGCATGGCATGGCTCGTACAGAGAGTGAGGAGAACGGCATGCGAGGCACAGGCCAGCACTCCTCCGGCCAATCGCCACATGCTGACGTGGCATTGCTGCTCCTGTCCAGCAGCGTGGCCTCCACGTGCTTGCATGGCGCGCACACGGCGTCGATCCCCGCTGTGATGCTCGCCAGGCTCGTCTCTCCCTCCGCCACCAGCCGCCGAATGAACTTGCTGCTGCCGACTCGCGCCATCACGCCGCTCCGCCACGCCTCCGTGCAGACCTGCCCCACGCCCGCCGCCTGCTGCCTCGCCACCTCCTCCTCCGGTAATGGGTCGCCTTTTAGCGAATCGTCCTTTAGCGGATCGTCTTTGAGCGAATCGTCTTTCGTGCGTGGCTCCCGCTCTCGCGCGAGCTGGGCCCACTGCTGCAGCGCACGGCACAGCCTGGCGCTGCAGGTAGTAGCGTTCGGCGTCGCGTCGTGGCGTCCGAAGAACCTCCCGAGTCGGCGCATGAACGCGGCATGGCTCCCCGTTGTACGGTACCGCCAGGGCCACTCACGCCAGCGCGGAGCCCCAAGGACGTCCGCACACGCTTCCGGAAAGTCGAGCGGCGCGGCGGCGTTGACCACGTTTCCGACGCACGAGAGCCCCCGCACACACCGGCCGTTGAAAAGGGTTCGAGCGAAGTCGACGACTACCGCTGCAGGAGGCCGCGCGAAGGCGAAACGGGTGGTTACCAAGTAAAGGGCTTCGCAGGCGAGGAAAAGTGCTACAGCGAGTTTTATGAGCGTCGCTCGAGAGAAGGACCTTCGCCGCTTCTTCGGATTAGCGGGCCACCGGAAACGCATGTTCAACTCCCATAAAGAGGACACCAGCTCTTCAACTTCCCTGTTGTACGGTTCCCCTTCTACGATCCGCTACTTACGATCCGCTTCTCACGATCCGCATAGAAATGCTACTCCTTGGCCTCGAAGCAACTTCCCGTGTAGCCTGAATGTGTCAGGAAGGTGTCAGGCAAGACATGCTGGGGGCGGTGTGATCGAGGGAGCAAGCGAAGTTGCGAGCGAAAGATAGTGCGAACTCGTGTGTGGAGGTAACTATCGGGCAAATATGATGCTCGCTCCTGGCTCGAATCGAAGTGCAGCGAGATTTGAGGCAGACGTTCTGGCCACGAAGCCGCGAAGGCAACGGTTGAACGAGATGAGAGGCGCATGGTAACTTATGAGGAGGCGAGCCGAAATTCTTGTACGCGGTAAGGCAGGTGACCCGAGGTACCAAAAGGTATTGAAGAAAAAACTGAATTAAGTGCTTGTAGGGATCTACAGATGAGGCCCGTGTACGTACAGGCGAAATTTCACCAAGGCGAGATCTGACAAGCCCCGGATCAGAATACAAAGGATTAGTCGCACAAGGGGGTGGGACAACAGGCGAGCAGCAGCAGCGCCATCCACCCGCGGCTTCCTTCGCTTTGGAACCGACCAGCTAGCGGTACAGTAGCATGCTAGCATAGCAGCTGGGATCAGCTCAGGTCAAGTTGTTAGTCGGGTCACACGAGGGAGCGGGACAGCAGTCGGGCAGCAGCAGCGCCATCCACACGGGTCTTCCTCCTCTCAGGAGCCGACCAATGGCAGCTTGCCAGCACATCAGCCGACGCCTCCTCAAAGCGGGACACCGCCAGGCAGCACGCCACAGCTCGCACAAAACCTCCATCCAGACCCCCATCCAGGCTTTCACCCAACCCTCCACGCGCAGTCGCCTTAGCGTTGCTGCTATCGCCATCTGAACCAGCAGTGTGTGGCTGTGAGAGGCTGCCACTAACCGCTGGGGAAGAACCATCCTTGCTGCCATCGCTCAGCTCCTCACTCACTTCAACACCAGGCTGCCCGTGCCTACCAGTCGCTAGGCAGTTGCCCCCATCTCCTCTCCTCTCGCCGCCAACCCGCCCACTACCTCTGCCCAGCTTTCTCTTCTCCTCACCGCCAATTGCCCTCTTGTCCTGTGTCCGTCTGGCCCTCCTCCTGGCCTCTCTGATCCTCCACTCGGCCGCACCTGCCAACTCCACCGACGCAAAGACCAGCAGAAAGGTCCCCTCTGCATCCTCAGCCTCCTCCGTCTCCCCTGCCTCCTCTGCTGATGCAACTCCCACTGCCCTTACAGATGCCGTTAGCCCTGTGGCTGCCGCCACTGCACTCCGCACCAGCGCTACAGGCTGCAACTCAACAGGCAGCAACCCATTAGGCGGCGAAACACCAGGGAGCAACTCAGACCTCTCCTGTAACGCCTGTGCAGCTGTGACGGCAGAAGCAATACCATCAGCGCTGCCAAAGCCAGCAACGACGGCACTTGAAGGAGCAGAGGCAGGATCATTATCGTTAGTAGCCCCTGTCCCGCCCTTGAGACTGCCAGTTGCCTTCTCAAGAGCACCTAAGTCCGCACGAACCACCAGAATGTGCCGAGTGCTGGCGGCTGGCAGATCCTCTTGGCTAGGAGAACCCTCCCTAGGGGCTGCAGGCAAGCCCTTTGCACCATCGTCACGCAAGCCCTGTGAGCCATCCATGCTCCCTGGATGCAGTCTCATCCTCTCGCCCTCACCAGGTCTCCTGTCTTTCTCCTCCTCCACCTGCCACATCCTGTAGTCATGCACCGCCCTCGCTATAGTCACACCCTCCAGCCCCTCATCTGCATCAAAATCCTCCTCCGCTACTGTCACTGTCTCAGCCGCTGTCATCCCTCTGCTGCTCTCCCCACCCCCATACTCCTCCCCGCTCCCTCCCCACCCACTCCCCTCCCTCCCCTTCTGATGCCGCCCCTCCCTTGCCTCGCCCCACCTATCCCAGCCCCTGCTGCCTTCCCCTCCTCTCGCCCCCTCCCACCCGCCCTTCTCCCCCCAGTGCCTCCCTTCCTCCCCTCTTCCCTTCTCATGCCTCCAATGCTCTCCGAAACCGTTCCTTCGTGCAACCCCTCTCGTTGCTGCTGCCCACGTGCCCTGCCCTTGCCTCGTCCCACCTCTCTCCTCTCCCTTTCTCCAGTGGTTGCGTCCTGAACTCTCAACGCCCCCCTTTCTCTCGCTCTCATGGTACAAGAACCTTCCCCGTCCCTTCCTCTTCGGAACAGGAGACAGCCCACCCCCCTCACTCTCTGCAATCTCATCACCTTTCCCTTCTCCTCCTCTTCCCTCCCTCCCTCTTCCACCCTGCCCTCCACCCCTCCCTCCTCCGGCAACAGTAATGGGCAGCGAGAAACGTTTTGGCGGCGGGCAGGCCTGTGTCGCCAGGTCAAGCGTGCGCTCACGGCTGGTGCTGCCCGGAATAAAATCGGACAGCAGAAGTGGAGGCACATAGCTGCAAGCGTGTGTTTTCCACTCTGAAACCATGTGTGCCGTTGTTGCTAGCCTACTAATGAGTTGCTCCTTAGTGAGGTTGCAGCACACGTGCTTGTAGCCGGTGTTGCTCCAGAGGGGGTAGGAGGAGGAGGAGAGGCCGAACCTCTTAGCCACAGTGTGCGCTAGCAGGCGGTGGTAGGAGCGCAGCTTCGGGAACACCAGCAGCACATCTGATGCTGCATCCCCTGTTACCACTGTTACCGTTACACCTCCTGCTGTTACATCTCTCCCCGTTGCATCAGCTACTGTTGCACCCCCCACCGTTACATCCCTTCTCGACGACCCCCCTGCTGCTGCCCCGCTGTTCTCTCCTCTCACGGCCCCTCCCCTCCCTCCCCTCCCTCCCCTCCCTCTCTCCCCCCTTTCGTCTGCTTCTCTTCCACCCTCCTCTCCTGCCACTAGCCCATTTTGTCCTTTTCTGCGCGCCATGCCCCCCCTCCCCTTTGCTGCCCGCGCATCTGCTGCTGCAGCAGCCGCCCATGCCGCCCCTCGGGGTGCATTCAACCCCCTTCCTTCACACTCCTCCCCATCTCCCTCACTCCCCCATCCCTCCTCCCCTTCTCTCTCCCCTTCGTCCTCCCCTTCTCTCCTTTCTCTATGGTACCCCATTCTCCCACCGCCCCCCTCTCCCCCTATGCATTCCGCCAACCCCCCTGCATCCTGCGCCTTCCGCGCCTCCGCTCCCCCCTCACCCCCATGCACACATCCGCGCGCGTCCTCACTTTCCGCTTCCCGCGCCCCTCCCCCCGCCTCTTTCCGCACCTCTTCCCGGGCTTCTCCCCCCCGCTCTGGTCTCCCCTCGGCCCGCGCCTCAACCTCGGCGCGGATCTTCTTCCCAGCGCCTCCCGCGGCTGTGTCACTATCTACAGCCACCCCCGACCTGCCGCTTCCTTCCCCCGCTTCCCCCGGCCTGACGCTTCCTTCCCCCGTTTCTCCCCTCGCGCGCGCAGAGCCGCCACGTGTCCACGGCTCCGCGCCTGGCCGCACGCGCCGCCGCGCAGGGGTTCCCGCTCCGCCTTGGCGCGCAACGGAACCGGCTCCGCCAGCTCGATCGGGAAGCGGCGGAAAAGCGGCGCTGTTATCGGCGCGCGGCGCTCTGTTATTGGGGGAGCTTGCAGGCGAAGCCGCGCGGGCGTTAGGGGAACCTGGCGGAGGGTTCCGCGGATTTGCTGAGGCGTCAGGGGAGGCGGAGCCGAATGGGGGAGAGGAACCCCACGGGCGGGAGAGAAAGCGCAGGATGTCGTCCTCGACGCGCAAGAGGAAGAGGCGATCTGACGGCTTGGATAGAGACGCTAAGAGACGGTGCGGCTCCATCGGGTGACATGTGGCATGGCAAAATGCGCAGAAGGCAGCTGCTTCTGCGGCTTTTTCTCCACCTGATAATCAGAAGCAATCAGAAGACCTAATTCAAATAATCTGTACATTTTGGTAGACGATTCCCTCTCTAGTGTATGTATGATGCTAGAGTTTCAGGGGCGTCAAGTCAATGCCAAAAAATAGGTGCCCATTTATTGGCGCAATTCCAGAATTATGGTTGGGTATACATAGACTCGAAGCTTGTGCATTATACAACACTTGTGTTCCATATAGTAAGTGCTTGATGCATGAATCATGCTAGGATGAACTACGTTAAATAAAAGCACTTTTAAAATGTACATCAGATGTTTTTTTATTTTTCATGATTTTCTTTAAAAAAGCGTAGGTTATAGATCTAGAATGGTAGAAACCTAAATGCTGTTATTCCGTTATGAACAGACCGTAGTGAGTTTCAGGCTGTCTATACCGCGTTCGTTCTGGATCTCTTGTTGTTGGCCTCCTTTCCTTTTTGAGCGTGATCTTGACGGCAAACAAGCCCTGCTCACCCACCATTCTTGACCTGCTCGACTTGTAGATTATTCTTTAGCCCAAGATTACCAGACTCGACTCAACAATCTCGCTGTGCGAGTGAGGATTTTCTCCCAAACACGACGTGCTTGATCTGCGTCGATCAGGCTCTCACCTCGCCGTGGTCTCTTTGAAACGCGATATTCTTCAATCTGCCAACCGTCTTGTGATGTGTCAGTCGGCTGGAGAGCTGCGCTAAAGCTCCGCGAGGAAATAGCCTGAGTCTGATTCAGCCTTTACCGTAGATTCCGTTTCAGATTCGCAATCCACTTTATAATTCTTGCCGGTCGCAGGATTTAGTGGCCGTGTCGTCGGCATTCGAGGAGGAGAACGGCCTGTTTCGAGACTCGTGTCGAGGACCCATTATATCACCTGGCTTTAATCTGCCGCCAGGCTGGCATTCCAAGAGGAGGTGGCCGCGCGGCTGCAGGAGGACGCATTGTCCTGACGACCTTGTTTTGACGGCTTATCAGAATATCCGGTTCTTAGCGGTTCTCAGTGGGCCGCCATGCTGGCATTCCGCGAGGAGATAGTGGCGCAGCTGCAGGAGGAGGACGGTCTGTTTTGAGGACTTCGTATTGACGACCTATTGAAAAAAATCCGAGTTTGAAGGACCCAGTAGATCTCCTGGTTTTATATTAATCTGCCACCATGCTGTCGTTTCACGAGGAGATAGTGGCGCAGCTGCAGGAGGAGGACGGCCTGGCGGTCATGGGGGCCGGGCTGGGCCTGCATAAGGTGCTAGCGCTCCTCGTTCGTTACTATCACATCACCAACGCCACTTGCACCCGCAGCCTCGGGAGCAGCAGCTTTGGCGGCGGCAGCAGCAGCAGCAGCAGCCGGGGTGGTTATAACGGGCGGTTGATGTTTGTGATTGGATTGGCGGAGGAGCAGAGGCAGGTACGGACTTGGCACAAGAGGCTGTTGCTTGGTTCATCATCCACTCACCGGATTTTATGCCCTTGTTTCTCCATACCCCCGCACTTTAAACCTTGGGCTTTAAACCTTGGGCCTCAAACGATGTATACTTCTTCATCTCCTTCTTCCCCCGTCAACCTTTCCTTCCCCCCCCCCCCCCCCCCCCCAACCCCTCCCCTTCCCCCCCACTTCCTGAACACACGCGAACCCCACAACCCCTCCTCTCTCCACCCCCTCCCCGTTCCCCCCCTTCGACGAACGACACCCCCCAACCCCCTCGGGCGCACACACGTGCACACCAGGCGGTGCAGGAGGAGCTTCAGGCGCTCAAGAGCTCTGGCCGCTGCCGCTTCCCGCTCCACTCCACCTGCCGCTGCCCAGGACAATCTTACCTCCCGCGCGCCCCCCCCCCCCTCTTCCCTACCCCCGTCCACACCAGGCGGTGCAGGAGGAGCTTCAGGCGTTGAACAAAGCTCTGGCCGCCGCTCCTTCCCGCTGCACCCCACCTACTGCCGCCCCTCCCGCTCAAACCTCTCAGCCCAGCCCATCCGCTGCTTCCCAGGACCATCTGCCAGCAGCAGCAGCAGCAGCAGCAGCAGCAGCAGCAGCAGCAGCAGCAGCAGCAGCAGTAGCGGTGCCTCAAGCGTCAGGAAGCATAGCTGCTGCTACAGTACCATTAGCAGGGGGACTCGAGGCCACAGTGGCGTCAGCTGTAATGGCATCCGATGGAGCAGAGGGACAAGCAGAGGGACAAGCAGGGGGACAAGCAGAGGGACAAGCAGCCCCATCGGCTGCGCTGCACCCGGCTGCAGTCCCCTGTGTGCTGGCAGATGTCAACAGCAGCATGTCCAGCGCTGAAAGGGTGGCGGCTTACCGCGAGGGAGGGTGCTTTGCCGTGACCTCCCGCATCCTCATCGTCGACATGCTCTCGGATAGAGTGCCCTTCAATAAGGTACAAGCCTGTATCATTCACGTATGTGTGTACATGTTCTGTAGCAAGAGGCGGAGTGCTTGCGGTGACTTCTCGTACTCTCGTCATCAAGATGCTCTCGGATCGAGTGCTCGCCAATAAGGTGCAGTTTATGTATGTATGCATGCAAACATAGATACGCGTAAGGTTGTTTCACAGTCACTCCTCACATTCCCACTGTTGATATGCTCGTTTGCAAGGCGCCCTTGAATAAGGTATAGTTTGTTCATGTTTGTCAGCAACAGCTGATCGCGTGTTTCCCTTATCCCCCCCCTCGCCCACCGTCCTGCATGTTTCCTTCGCTCTTAATTCCTCAGCTCAAGGGCGTAGTGGTGGTGAACGCACACGAAGTCACGCACAGACAGACACAGGAGGTGGTGCTGCTATCAAGTCATCCGCTCCTCCTCTCTCCTCTACTCGCCTCATTCCACCCCACCCGCCCTGCTGCTACCCTCCCTCGGCTCAAGGGCATAGAGGTGGTGAAAGCACACAGAGTCACGCTCAGGCACAGGAGGTGGTGTTGCTACCAAGTCACGCACTCCTCCTTTCCCCTCTACTCGCCTCATTCCACCCCACCCGCCCTGCCGCTACCCCCGTCAGCTTAAGGGCATAGTGGTGGTGAATGCACACCGAGTCACGGACACAGGAGCAGAGGCCTTCATTCTCAGGCTATTCAGGTGGGCGGGTATTGGTCTTTCAGGTGGGCGGGTATTGGTCTTTCAGGTGGGTGTGCAGGTGCGTGGGTGGTGGTTCTGCAGGTCGATGTTCGGATGGGCGGGTATTCGTCCTTCAGGTGAGTGTTCAGGTGGGCGGGTGGTGATTCTTCATGAGGCACAAGTGGCATTTCAGTCCGGGTTGAATTGGCGTACGAATAAATCTCAATACTCCCTTCGGGCACGTCATACGCACAGCACAGCTAACAGGGATGCCAAGTAGCACGGCGGCATGCACAGTATGATGCACGCACTGCTGACCTGCCACAGTCACTGGATCATCATCTCGAGTCTCTCCTTCCTACAAACTCCTTAAAGCCCCGTGTTTTCCCCTCAGGAACACTCCAACAGGCGCATCTCTTTTTCCGCACCCTCGTCCTCCTCCTCCCCCCTCTCTCCTTGGACCCCGCCTTTACTTCCTCTCAGGGACGCCAGCAAACACGGGTTCATCCACGCCCTCTCTGACCGCCCCAACTCGCTCTCTGCCAGCTTTCTGTCACACGGCAAAGCGCTTCCTCAAACGACTCTTCTTTCTCCCTCCCTTCCTGCTCCCTCTCCTCTTGGGTCCCCGTTCCTCACCCTCAGGGACACCAACAAGCACGGCTTCATACACGCACTGTCGGACCGCCCCAACTCGTTGTCGGCTGGCTTCCACAAGGCGGAGCGCATCCTTAAAGCGCTCTTCCTGCGCCGCCTCTACCTCTGGCCGCGATTCCAGGTGATGTTTCTTTTAAGCAGCTCGTAGCATGCATTATGGGTCCAGTAGACTGCCGCAAGTGTGTGTACGTTAGTTTCTCAAGTGTCTTCTTTTTAGACGTCTTCTGTTCCCACCCCGTGTTTCTCCGCTCTGGTGGGTACCTTTTTGAGAATTCTCAAAGATCACCTTCAACCTGGGTACCCAATATCCAGGTTAGCGTATGGCAGGCATTTGGAGCTAAGTTGGTTCCTTATGTTTACGTCTGCTTACGTTTATGTTTACGTGAAGAATGTAGATTGCAGCTAGCTAGACCACAGCACACAAACGTGGATTGCTGCCAGGTGCATTAAGAACCTACATAGTAGATGTAAACAGCAGGGAGATCTCCTACAGCAGGCACAAGCTCATTGAGTAGTACATCTGGAACCTTACAAACTAGGAGGTCACCGCCCTTAAGTTGCAGCGCTTCTTGACGCTCAACAATACACGGCGATCTGTAGAGCGCGTGCAGACACGGTGGAGGGCGAGCTTTAGTGGCTGTTTTGATGGAAAAACAGGCAATTGTTTCCCTTTTTTTTTTTTTCCCACCCCCTGCCCTTAGTAAGTAAACGTATTTGCCACTTGCGCACACGTACGAGTAAATTTACGCATATGTGTTACGTACGTGGGCCATTTGGACGTAAGGAACCAACTCAAATTTGGAGCAGCACCCACCACATGTGGAGGACGTGAGAGTGCCTCTCACTCTCCCCCGCTCTCTCAAGTGTTTTGCATTTCCCACCCATACCTCCCATCCGTACTATCACCCAGGTTAGCGTATCCCAGTCGTTGGAGCAGCACCCGCCGCATGTGGAGGACGTGAGAGTGCCCCTCTCGCCAGCAGCAGCAGCCATCCAGCAGGCAATCATTGACGTCATGGGCTCGTGCCTTCAGGTGCACACAGCCTTAAGCCCCATAGCGCTGTAACCCTATAGGCTATAGCCCATAGCCCCATAGCGCTGTAAGTAACCCTATATCCCATAGCCCCATAGCGCTGTAACCCTATAGCCCATAGCCGCACCCTTCTTGACTCATCGCTACCATCCAGCAGGCAGTCAATGACACCATCGTCTCATGCCTTCATGTGTGCTCGTCTCATGCCTTCATGTGTGCTCGTCTCATGCCTTCATGTGTGCTCGTCTCATGCCTTCATGTGTGCTCATGCTGCTCTGCGTGTCTGCATGTATACTTCAAGCAGCGATGTCAAAAGTAACAGTTGTTTCGCCCTTTCAATCTGTCCTCTCCCTCTCATCCCAACCGAACTCCTGCTTTCTTTCAAGGATCTGCGCCGTACAAACAAGCTGGATATGGACGATCTGACGGTGGAAAGCGGTCTTTTCAAGTCCTTTGATGAGATCGTGAGGCGCCAGCTGGATCCTGTGTGGCACACTTTGGGCCGCAAGATCAAGCAGGTAAGGTGAAAGCAGGGGAGGCGAAAGATCAGGCAGGGGAGGTGAAAGCAGGGGAGGCGAAAGATCAGGCAGGGGAGGTGAAATATCAAGCAGGTGAGGTGGTGTGGAGCTAGTTGCTGACCTGAGGACCTTCCAGAAGTTAAGAGGAGCATCTGCTGTCACGTACCTGCACTTCCTGTTCTTCCTCCCCCACCACATCCCCTCCTTGCCCATCCCTCCTTGCCCACCCCCCTCCCTGCCAGCTAGTGACTGACCTGAGGACTTTGAGGAAGGTAGCGGAGCATCTGCTGCGGTACGATGCACTCACACTCCTGCGCTTGCTACTCGACCTCCCTTAATTCCGTCCTTGACCGACCACCCCCCCCCCTTCTTGTGCAGCTAGTCGCAGATCGACGGACGGACCCCGAGGAAGATAGCCGAGCCCCTGCTGCGGTATGACGCGTTCACCTTCCTTCCTGCGCTTCCTCCCCATCTGCCCTTGTTTGCCACTTGGCTCTGCAGCTGGTGGCCGATTTGAGGACCCTGAGGAAAATCGCGGAGAACCTGCTGCACTACGACGTGGTCACCTTCCTGCGCTTCCTCCTTTTCCATCCTGCCTTCCCCATCCCTCCTTGCCCCACAGCTAGTTGCGGATCTGAGGACCCTGAGAAAGATCGCGGAGCACCTGCTGCGCTACGACGCGGTCACCTTCCTGCGCTTCCTGGACGCCCTCAAGGCGAGCGAATCAAAGGCCGCCATCTGGATCTTCGTGGACCCCGCGCCCAAGATCTTCGAGCTGGCTAAGAGGCGGGTGTTCCAGGTGAGAGGAGTGGGCATCTACTAGTTCCAGAGTGGGCAAACTTTAGGCCCCACACACCCAAAGGCCGCCATTTAAATCTTCATGGACCCCGCACCCAAGATATTCGTGCTGGCGAAAGGGCAGGTGTTTCAGGTGAGTAAGGTCGTACCAGGTGAGGGGGTATCACCTGAGGGGGGGATGCGCACGAAATCTGGCCGCCATCTGGAACTTCGTGGACCCCGCACCTAAGATCTTGGAGCTGGCTAAAAAGAGGGCAAGGTGCAAAAAAACGGTCGTTTTTTATTTATTTATTTTTACCGTAAAATACGAATCGTTTTATTCGGCCGTTTAAAACGGTTCAAAGGTGCGTTTTTTGGTTGGTGCAAAAAAACGGTCGTATAATACGGTCGTTTTTTTTTAACCAGCCAAAACCTGGGGAAATAAATATTGTAATTAAATTGTAATCACTTTCAGATGCACCGTGGTAGTTCATTTGTGAGTGCTGTTAATGTTTTGAGATGGTGGTGAGGGTGATAGTGGAGGGTAAGAGGCAGCAGAGGAGGAGGAGGACAAAGATTCAACACTCGTACCTGTAGAACTGTTTGTTAGCCCCCTTAGCCCTAGGTGAGTAGGGATGTATGTACCCGATGAGGGGGTGCTACCCAATTAGGGAGTGCCAGGTGAGTAGGGATGTGCCCAATTAGGGGGTATTTGGTGGGGAGAGATGCGCATGAGAGCTGGCTGCCATCTGGATCTCCGTGCACCCTGCGCCCAAGATCTTGGAGCTGGCAAAGCGGAGGGCGCACCAGATGGGCAAAATTGAGGTCTAGTTATGTGGGGAATGTGCCGATCTAGTCCGCGGGCCCAAGATCTTTGAGCTGGCTAAGAAAAGGGTGTACCAGGTAAGTAAGGATGTGCTTGGTGTGGGGGGTGCCTGGTGAGGTGGAACCTGATGAGAGGAGCGAGAACTTCTTTATGTGGGGAATGGGCAAAGGTAAAACCTTGCAACCTAAATGTCTTTGTATTAAGGGGCTTTGTACCAGCGTGGAGTGTACCACATGAAGTTGTAGCTGTGTGTGCGTTTCATAGCGGATGTTTTATCCCTAACTCACTGCAAACACGGATTTTGTTTTTCTACTGATGCTTGGCATGCCCATCCTTGTCCCATGGCATGTGCATGCCAAGCAGCAGTAGAAAGTCCATGTGCGGGTCGAATCCATGCGACTTCCTGACACATTCAAAAGACTCGTTCTGATGGGAGTGTGCAGGCTACTTGTGCGATATTGGCTGGTGTGTATGAAAATCACGTCAATTTCAAACAACAAGCACATCACGATTCTCTGATTCCGTGTGCTTACGTAGCAAATACTGTTAGCTCTTGTCTTTAGTTTGTTCTTCCGCGCTCTGGTCGTTCCTTAACCCTGCACATGAACTGCTTAGTCCGCACGCAAGGAGAAGTAACTCCAACACCCCCCCAATTCTCCGTTAATAACAGTCATGACGACACCATCGCTAGAGGGGAAGAATGGTATCCGGCCAACGCTTTAAGTAAGTGCTATTTAAGACTTGATAGAGCGTCGGCTAAATGGACATCCTTCCCCTCTAGCGATGCTGGTGTCATGATAGTTATTAATGGAGAATGAGGGGGTGTTAGAGCCACTTCTCCTCGCGTGCAGAATAAGCAGTTCATGTTCAGAGTTAGGGAACCACCAGAGCGCGGAAGAATTAACCACACACGGGAGCTAACGGTATTTTCTAGGTAAGCACACAGACTCTGGGAAACGTGATGTGCATATTGTTTCAAATTGACACGCTGTTCATACACTCCAGCCAGTATAGCACAAGTAGCTTGCACACTGATATTGGAAAGAATCTTCTGAATCTGTCAGAAGACACCTCTCTTGTCTCATAGCAGACGCTCCTTGCGTGCTTGTGACATGTGAGTGCATATGAATGGTTGTTCGATTGCAACCCAGTCGTGTGATCATGAACCGAACAAGATTTACACTTGCGAATGCCTGACAGATGCCAACCGTCCAATATGCCAATGCCCCTTAGATCTGAGCTGTTAAGTTTTCACACCCCCCAGTTCCGTGTGTGCTACTTGCCTTGCTGGTTTGACTTGCCACTCTGCTTGTATTCCCTATGTGAACAGGTTGTTAAAAAGGCGCCGCTTGCATCACTGCAGGAAGCCGCCAGAAAACCAACCAGAACGAGGGTGAGGTGCTGCCTCAATACATCTCCTCTTGCACACCCCACTACATGCCCTCTTTCACTGACACAACACATGCGAGTGCTTGTGCATTTTTTAGGCGCCACTTACATGTTCGCGCACTGCACGCGCCATCAGTCGTCACACTCACATCATCCATGTAATGTGTGTTCTTGCGCACGTGGCCACACCAACCAAACTGCCTTCGATTGTCGACTCTCTTTGACATGATTTTTTGCCCTGGCCTCACAGGCTGCTCGAACCAAGGCGTCGGAGGAGCAGAAGGGGGCGGAAAGAGAGGGGGGAGTGGAAGGGGGTTTGGGCCTTGAAGTGCGGGAGGACGGGTGGGAGGGTGACGGAAGCAAGGGGAGTGGGGAGGGCGGGTTGGAGTTACAGCTAGTGCTGGAGGAGATGCCCAAATGGAAAGTGCTGCGGGTGAGTGGGTGGATGCAATGTTGGGATGATGGATGGTTGGGGAGTAGAGTGAGTGATGGGGGGGGGTGTTGGAGCGACAGCCGGTATTAGAGGAAGTTCCTGAAGGGAGGGTGCTGGGGGTGAGTGAACGTGGTAATGCCGGGCTGGGGCCTGGGGTTACAGGTTTGTGGTTCAAGGTAGTGCACTGCGAGAGTGGCGAAGTTGGGTTGGAGCTTCAGTCGGTACTGGAGGAGATGCCTAAATGGAAAGTGCTGCGGTTGAGTGAAGGTGAATGCAGGGGCGAGTCAATGATTGCAAGGGCGGGGTGCACGGATGGTGGCGGGAGCAAAGGGAGTGGGGAGGGCGAGTTGGAGCTACAGCCAGGGCTGGAGGAAATGCCAAAAGGGAAGGTGCTGAGGGCGAGTGAGTGAGAGAGTGAGTGAGAGAGTGAGTGAGAGAGTGAGTGAGAGAGTGAGTGAGAGAGAGAGTGGATGCAAGGGGTCGATTTTTGAGTCGACTCAAAAATCGACTCATTATGCAAGGGGTGAAGGTGGGGTTGTGAGGGATGGTAAGGGGTTAGAGTGAGGGAAGGGGAGTGTGTGTTGGAGCTACAGCCGTTATTGTTGGGGATGCCCAATGGAGGGTGCTGAGGGTGATTGTATGTGCAAGTGGTAGGGTTAACGGATGAGAGTGAGTTTATGGATACAAGGTTCAGGGAGCAGAGGGAGTGGAGACTATGTGCTGGAGCTACAGCCGGTGTTGGAGGAGATGGCCAAGTGGAAGGTGGTGAGGGTGAGTATACGTGGTAATGCTGGTGTGGGGGTTGTTGGATGGTACTTCAAGGTAATGCAATGCTAGTGTGGGGTGTGCTGAAGCGAGAGGCAGTGCTGGAGGAGATGCCCAAGTGTAGGGTGCTGAGGGTAAGTGAGTGAATGCAAGGGTGGGATCTGCGCCTGGTGAGTATGGTTAGTGGATAGTGCTTGGGGGTTAACAAGGGGATTGATGGTGCTACAGCCGGTGCCGGTGGCGACGCTGCAGACTGTGCTATAGGAGTAGCCCTTACTGAAGGGGGGGTGATGGCTGGAGAGCTGCATGCTGTGCTGTAGAGATAGCCCTTGCGGATGGGGCTGAGGCTGAGGCTGAGGCTGAGGCTGAGACTGAGGGTGAGGGCGAGGATGTGGGTGACGGCCGGGATCCATACCTCTGACATGCTGTTCTCCCGTGCCTCTCTGTCACCTGATGAAAGCTCACCTGCTGCCGCCTCTCCCTGCTGCCGCCCGCCCCGGCCTCAGGAACTGCTTGAGGAAATTCAAGCGGAGCGCAGCGCGCAGCAGCAAGCACCAGCAGCAGCACCATCAGCAGCAGCAACAGCGGCAGCAGCGTCTGCAGCAGCAGCAGCAGCAGCAGCAGCCGCTGTGGTAGTGGCGTGCAAGGATGAACGCACTTGCCAACAGCTCGGGGACGTGATTGCATTTGGTGCCGCCACTGTGAGCTCATTCCACACCCTGCACACTTGTCTCTGCACAATACCTACCTACCTTTCCTTGAGAAGCCATTCACATTGCACATGTCTCTCTGCAGACACGAGCTTGCGCATTCCACATTTTGTATTTTCTGTTCTTATGTATGTCCATGAAATGGGCCATTGCACCAGTCTTCAAACAACCAAATCCCCGCCCCCCTTCCCCCCCCCCATGTCCCCCCTTGGCCCCCCCTCGGAGGATTCCACCTTCCCAGCTCATGCAGCGCGAGTGGCAGCAGTACCTTCTGGCCAAGGCAGATCTCGTGAGGGCGAACCTTCCAAGAAAGAGGCATGCCAGCAGCAGCAACAGCGCACGTGCTGGTGCTGGCAACGCTGGTGCTAGTGGTGGTAACGGCGGCAGTAGCAAGAGCACAGGAGGCGACAGCGCCTTGGACCTGTTTCAGAGGGAGCAGCAGCTGCTGCTGGCCGCGGCCAAGCGAGTGAGAACGGAAATGGAGGAGGAGGAGAGGGGAGGGGAGAGGGAGAATGGGAGGGGGAGAGTGGAGGTGGCGGGTGGAGAGGGAAGGGGTCTGGCAGGGAGAGGGGAAATGCAGGGAGGGGCGAGAGAAGGTGAGGGGGCGAGGGGGAGTAGAGGTGCGAGGGGGGGTGTTGGTGGTGGTGGGGGGAGGAGGGGGCGCGGGAAGGGGAGGGGGGGTGGTGCAAGGGGTGGGGGAGTGGAGGCAGATGGGAGGCTTGTGCAGCTGGATTTGGCATTGAGGGTGGGGAAGGCTGGAGAGGCGAGAGAAGTGGATGGGAGAGGTGAGAGAGGAGGAGGTGAGAGGGAGAAGAGGGAGGGCGAAGGAGAGGCAAGTGCGGGTGAGAGAGGGGAGGGGGAAGGCGATGGGGAGGGGGGGAGAGAGGGGAGGGAGGGAAGTGAGGAGAGAGAGGGTGTTGATGAGGGGGGAGAGAGAGAGGGGAGTGGGAGGGGGGGTAGGGGGAGAGGAAGGGGGAGGAGGGGGCGAGGAAGGGGAGGGAACGGAGGAAGGAAAAGAGGGGGAGAAGAGTGCGGAGCGAGGGGGGAAGGGAGGGGAGGAGGGAGGAAGCGGAAACGAAGAGGGGTGGAAGAGTGTTTGGAGGAGGAGGAAGGGAAGACGGAGCAAGGGGAGGAGGAGCAAGGGGAGGGGCTTGGAAGGGGCAGTGGGGGCAATGGTGACAAGGATAGTGATAGTGATAGTGATAGTGACGTTGTGCTTATAGAGGATAGTGAGGCAATAAGGAAGGGTGTTGATGACAGTGAGGGAACTGGGAAGGGTAGTGCGGAATCAAATGAGGGGGCAGAAGGGGCAAAGAGGGCAAAACGGGCAAGAGTCCAGCCAACAAACCCAAACTCCTCACTACCCATCCCAACCTCAATTCCAGCCATCCAGCCGGCTAATCCTGTACCTTCCGACCTGCCACCCCCCATCTCTGCACCCCCCAACTCCACCCCTCACTTACCACAACTCCCCGCCACCTCCCTCTCCCCCTGCATCCGCCTCGAGTTCGTCCCTCCCTCAATCAATGGCAGGCTGCCAGCTGTCCACCTGTGCACCCTCGAGGGTGCGTCGCACGTACTGGCGGCGCTACAGCCGGGCGTGGTTGTAGTCTACGACCCTGACATCGAGCTCGTGCGCGAGATCGAAGTTTTCCACGCTACCCAGGCGAGTGCTCGTTCCAGCGCGGCAGGCAGGGAGGAAAACACCGCACCTTCCCGGGACGAAGGCGCTTCTGAGAGTGGGGGAGATGCAGGCGTGTGTGAAGGCAGGAGCCGAATGGAGTCTCTGGTTGAAGGGGGGGCAGCCACGGATGCTGCTGCTGCTGCTGCTGCTGCTGCTGCTGCTGCTGCCGCTGCTGCTGCCACTGTGCAGTCCCTGCTGCCCCCCCTGCGCGTGCTGTTCCTGTTCTACGAGGGCTCCACGGAGGGCCACAAGTTCGAGGCGAGTGTGCGGCGGGAGAACGGCGCGTTCGAGCAGCTCATCCGGCAGAAGGCTGTCATGACCATCCCCGCTGGACAGGTACTGGCAGAGCAGGTACTGGCAGAGCAGGTACTGGCAGAGCAGGTACTGGCAGAGCAGGTACTGGCAGAGCAGGTAGCTTTCCATCTGTTGACAGAGAAAGCATCTGTCTGTTTCAAGAGAGAGTGGCACGCTCGAGCAGCTCTTCCGACACAAGGCCATCATGGCCATCCCTGCAGACCAGGTACAGGTTCTAATGTGTGCCGACAGAGCGGGTAGCTTTGCGCATGTTCAACAGAGAAAGCATTCGTCTGCTTAAAAAAGGAACAGTGCCTTGGAGCAGCCGATCTGGCAAAACAGGTAGCTTTCCACGTGCCAGCAGAGAAGTTTTTGTTTGTATCAGCAGGGAACGGTGCCTTTGAGCAGCTCAAGAGGCAGAAGGCTGGCGTGACCATCCCGGCAGAGCAGGTGCTGAAGAGGTGCTGACGAGGTGCTGGTGGAACAGGTATCGACTGAGAAAGCCTGCCTCCGCTGCCCCTTTCCCACCCCGCTGCTGTTTCTCACCAACGCCTCCCTTTCTGTTTGTTCTTCTCATTTCCCCCCTCCTCTGCTCGCTCTCCTCTCCCCTATCGGGACTAGATATGGTCATATCGCATCGCATTATATCGCATTTTGCGATTGCGATTTATTTATTTATTTTACAAATATCGCGGCGATGCGATGCGATTATATCGCGCGATTTTTGCGATATTGCGATTTTTGGGCGCGATAATATGCGATTCGCGATATTTAAAAAATCGCCCGCGATATTTGGAGCTTGCCAAAAAAAAATTGCTGTTTATTTATCAGAAGTGTCGCGTTACCCGTGGAGAGGCATGAGCCTCCCCAGGGGTAACACAGCAGCAGGGGAAGAGGTGAGTGGAGCAGAGTATTATGAGAAGAAAGAGTTGGCATGCATAATTGAAATACAAAATACGGGAGAGAGAGGTACAGTACTGTACTGTACAAAGTATGAAGGAGCTGAGGGATCGAGGCGCGGGGATAATGGGACCTTACAATTTCGAGGCGCAAGCAAGGATGAGGTGGGGGGGGGAGGGACGTCAGCAATAGCCCCATCTGACGAAGGGTAGAGACCAGGGAATCTCAGTTCCCAAGGGAAGGAAGGGAGGTAGGCAAGGGAGCAGGGGAAAGTGAAGTGTAAATAGATCGAGACTCAGTAGGCTAATCGTTTCTCGTTTGTATGTTTTCCTACTATATTGCAATTACACTCTACGCCTACTAGAGTCCAGCAGTACGGGAATTCAGTCCTAAGTGGATCTGAGCAGCCAAGAAGAGGCTTGTAACATACAAGCGAGAAAAAATGCGCGAAGGGCGCGTTGCGACGCGTGCAGCGATGAGTCGGGAAACGAGTCCCGAGGGACGTCGTCTCAGATCGGGGACGAGGTATCCAGCGAGGAGCTTGGGGGAGGATGTGCAGCCTCCTCTGCGGCCGGTGTACCGTGTGCAGGACCGCACGAGCCAGACGAACGTGAAGCGGATGCTTCAGCGGCAGCGAGATCAGGAGGCCCACGCGGAGACGACATCGAACAAGTGCTAAAATGGATCAAGGAAGGGGGATCACAGTGCTGTTACATAGTGGAGCATGTGGACATGATGGGAGACCCGCGAGAACCAGTGAGAGCCACACAAGAGAAGGTAGTGGCGGAGCTGGGGGCAGGCGTGAGTTGGGATGCCGCTCTGAACGGAGCAAGAGCAAGGCGGGTAATGAGATACTCGCAGAACGTAGTGGAGACTGAGAAGCTGAAGCGAGGACTGGCTGACCTGAGAAGAGACACGAACTTGCTGGTAGAGGACATTCTAGAACCAGGACGAACGCCAGCCCCAGTGGAAAAGCGAGACCACCCTAAGCAGCTGCAGTGCAATAACCGGGCGAGAAAAGAAGATTATGGCCTACCTTGGTGGCCTACGAAGGAGCCCGAGGGTTCGTGATGGAAGGAGGCAAGCCAGGACCAGGCATGGTGTATGACAGAGAAAGAGGATAGTGGGAAGAACCAATAGCGACCGAGCGAGAACTGGCGATGGGATACGTACCAGGGGCAACAGCGGCACGAGGAGTACCAGAGCGAGAGCGAAGAGCTGCCCTGGGGCGGGCAATGGATCAGCATGCGTTGCGGTGGCTGATAAAGGAGATGATACAGCAGCGGGAGGAAAAAGAGCCGAGAGGGCAGCCGGGAAGAGGGAGCAGGGGGCAGATCAAGGCCAGCCGAGCATACCTGACACAAGAAGAAAAGCAGGAAGAGGAGAAAGACGCAAAGAAGGGAGAGAAGACAGAAAAGGAAGGCCAGAGACAGTGGGAGATGAGCCCGGACTTGGACAGTAAAGTGGCGGCAGAGATCCAGCAAGGTTTAGCAGAGCATCGGAAGACTTTCGCACACACCCTGCAAGAATTGGGGAAGTGCAAGCTGCACGAGCTCGAGCTACCTCTGGACACCACGGTGCCCATTTACCAGAGGAGGCGGCGGATGAGCCCGGGAGACGAAGAGATATGTCGTGGCAAATGCAGAGAGCTGCTAGATGCAGGACTGATACGACCATCGAACTCGGCATACGCAGCAGCTACGGTGGTAGCAGCGAGGACAGACTTGACCGGAGAAGTACTGGATAGGAGAATGTGCGGTGACTACCGGGAGTTAAACCGCATAACAAAAGCGGTTCGATACAGCATGCCAACTGCAGAGGAGATCTTCGACAGGCTGGAAGGAGCGGTCATCTTTTCAACATTGGACATGCGACAGGGGTTCAATCAGATAGTAATCAAGGAAGAAGACAAATGCAAGACCGCCTTCCATGGCGTGGACGGCCTGTACGAGTGGAACGTAATGCCGTTCGGGCTTAGGAATGCCTCAGCCGTGTTCCAGCGAGTCATGGACCAGGTACTGAAAACAGTACCATCAGCAGCGTGCTACATTGATGATGTGGTGATTTACAGCAAGAAGGAGGAGGAACATGCGGAGCATCTGAGAGCAACGCCGGATGCGATAGCAGCAGCGGGACTAACCTGTCATCCGGAGAAGTGCAAGATAGCTAAGAGGACAATTACTTACCTGGGATTTGAAGTCCAAGGAGGAAAGATGGGTATACAGGAGGCGAAGGTGGCGGTGCTTGATAAGCTGGGGGCACCGAAAGATGAAGGAGCGCTGAGGGCACTCCTGGGGTTTCTGAACTACTACTGACGCTTTATCCCCAATTTCAGCAAGAGAGCTCACCGGCTGAACCAGCTGCTGAGGGAGGGGCAAGCCTGGAAGTGGGTACCAGAGGAGGAGCAGGCGAGAGGGGATCTGCTAGAGGCCATTAAAGCAGGAACGGTACTACAGCTGCCAAGGAGAGACTCACCGTTCACGCTGTACACTGACTGGAGCAGCACGGGCATGGGAGCAGTATTGTGTCAAGAGGTGGAGGGAGAAGAGCGAGTGGTGGCTTATGCCAGTCGAAGCTGCACGACAACAGAAGCCAACTACAGTTCATACGAAGGGGAAGGACTAGCGGCTGTGTGGGGAGTGACACACTTCAGGGCCTACTTGCAAGGGCAAAGATTCACACTGATAACAGACCACCAGCCACTCTAATGGCTGATGACCAACGGATCCTTGACTGGGCGAAATGCACGGTGGGCAATGCGACTGCAAGAGTACGACTTCATCATCAAACATCGCGCAGGAAAGACGCTACAGCATGCAGACGGGCTGTCCCGGAATCCTCCCGCAGCGGTAGAGCAGCAATGGGCAGCAGTGGCAGCCGAGGGAGAAGAGAAGGGAGATGTGCAGGAGCTGAAGGAACAAAACGCAGAGGATATATGGCTAGACAAGGAGACACTCCACCGGGTGCAAGGGCTGACCGAAGACACTGCAGCAGTAACGGCAAGGGCGAGGAATAGAGGAGGGCATTACTGGTGGTTTCAGAATCAGATGCAGCTGCGCACGTCGGAAGGATGGAAGGTGGTGCCAGAGCCAGGAGAGAGGGAGCAGATCGTACAGCAAGTGCATGAGAAATTAGGGCACTACGGGGGAGCCAGGACAAGGCAGCTACTATGCACTGCCTACTGGTGGGCGAGAATGAGGAGAGACGTGGCGCAGTGGGTGCAGGGGTGTGAGGCGTGCCAGAGGAATAAGGCGGCGCTGGAGAAGGGCAGGGAAGAATTGCAATCACTGCCCATACGTGGTCTAGGATTCAGATGGTCCTTGGACCTAGCAGGCGAACTATTGTTATCCAGGCGAGGGAAGATGTATATAGTCGTGATGATCGAGCATACGACAAAATGGGTGGAGGCGCGGGCTATAGCTAGCAAGAATAGTGGGCTAATCCGAGAAGCATTTCTGGATCAAGTTCTCACTAGATTTGGGGCATGCGGGGAGGTGCTGACTGATTAGGGCACTGAGTTCCAAGGCGGAGCTCTTAAAGGAAGTGGGCATCACGCATCGAGTGACCTCGCGATACCATCCTCAGTCCGACGGGTTGACAGAACGGATGATACAAACGATCAAAAGAGGATTGCGAGCGTAGGGAGAGCAGAAAAAGAGGGAGTGGGATGCAGAACTGCCATGGGTGCTGGCAGGCTATCGGTTCGCCAAGCAGTCAGCACTGAAAGACATGTCCCCGTATCACTTGCTGTACGGAAGAGAGCCCGTGCTGCCCGTGGACGTGCCCAAGCTACTCACCGCGTCAATGAGCGAAGTGTCGGCGGAGGCGTGGGCAGCTGAGGCGATGCGAAGAGGGGATTATCTGAAGGAGCTCATGCCGGCAGCCCTGGAGAATCTGCACACAGCGCAGCTGAGAGATGCACGCAGGTATCAGCAGCGACGAGAAAGAGAGGCAGGAGGGACAGCTAGTAACGTGGCCGTGGGGAGGGAAGTATACCCGAGGAGGCAAGGAAGGACACCCTGGAAATGTCAGTGGGTAAAGAGAAGTGGCGCGTGCTGGAGATACGCTCGTCCGGCGTATTGGTGCTGGAGAATGAGAAGGGAGAGAGGAGGAGAGAGCATGTCACAAATGTAGCTGCAGCAGGAGAATGCAGGACCAAGCAGAAGGATCCCATGGCTGAAGCGACAGGAGGGATCGATTCAACCAGGGAGGGGGCAAGGGCGCTTGGTCCCACAGCAGCAGTCATTACCTACCAGAGAAGGAATGGACAAAGGAAGAAGGAGGGCAGGGAGGAAGGATAGTTCAGAAGAAGGGGGAGAAGAGGGAGAAGCACGACAGCTGTCGCGTTACCCGTGGAGAGGCATGAGCCTCCCCACGGTTAACACAGCAGCAAGGGAAGAGGTGAGTGGAGCAGAGTATTATGAGAAGAAAGAGTTGGCATGCATAATTGAAATACAAAATACGGGAGAGAGAGGTACAGTACTGTACTGTACAAAGTATGAAGGAGCTGAGGGATCGAGGCGCGGGGATAATGGGACCTTACAATTTCGAGGCGCAAGCAAGGATGAGGTGGGGGGGGGGAGGGACGTCAGCAATAGCCCCATCTGACGAAGGGTAGGGACCAGGGAATCTCAGTTCCCAAGGGAAGGAAGGGAGGTAGGCAAGGGAGCAGGGGAAAGTGAAGTGTAAATAGATCGAGACTCAGTAGGCTAATCGTTTCTCGCTTGTATGTTTTCCTACTATAGTGCAATTACACTCTACGCCTACTAGAGTCGAGCAGTACGGGAATTCAGTCCTAAGTGGATCTGAGCAGCCAGGAAGAGGCTTGTAACATAGGGCGCTTGGTCCCACAGCAGCAGTCATTACCTACCAGAGAAGGAATGGACAAAGGAAGAAGGAAGGCAGGGAGGAAGGGTAGTTCAGAAGAAGGGGGAGAAGAGGGAGAAGCACGACAACACGACGTTGTAATGGTGTGTTGTGCCCCTGTTTGAAACCCTTCGGCAGTTCCCAGTTATCTAACTATCCAAATTGCTGCTGTAGTTTACTTAACCCTGAAATTTAGCCCTGGCGATGCGATATTTAATCTCATCGCGCGATATATCGCGCTCTACAGCACGATATTTACAAATATCGCACCTAAAACGCGATATGCGATTTTGGGTTTTTTCAAACAAATATTGCAGCGATGCGATATCGCATCGCCGCGATATAATGCGCGATATGTCAAAATGCGATGCGATATCGCATCGCATCACATTTTGACCATATCTAATCGGGACGGAAAGTTCTCGGCAACTCTCCCCGTGAGCCTGCCACTGCTGCCGCTGTCCCGTATGCTGCTGATTCTCACCGCCACTCTCCTTCCTGTCGTTTCTTCTCTTCTTTATCTTCTTCTGCTCGCTGTTCTCACCACCATCAGGACGGCAAGTCCTCGGAGATTCTTCCCATGAGCCTGCCTCGGCTGCCTCCCTCCCACCCCGCTGCTGCCAATGCCATTACGAGGAGAGGGGGAGGGCGGAGGGCAGCAGAGAGACAGGAGATGCGGGTGAGCAAAGATGGGGTATGGGGAGCGGGAGCAGGGGATGGGGGAGGGTTGGGCGGTGAAGGGGTTGTAAAAGAGCTGCCTTAATGCACGCTGCCTCTGTCCTACCGTCTTTGCTGCCATGGGGGGGGAGGGTGAGCATAGGGCAACAGCGAGACATCAAGTAAGGCGGACGGTGAAGGAGGGTGAAGTGGGAGGGGAGAGGCGGTCAACGGAAGGGGAGGGGGATGAGGAAAAGGTTTGGTGTTGCAGTGTGAGCAGACGCCGAGCCAAGGGAGATTAGACGTGTTTGTGAAGGGAGCTTATGTGGCCCTTCGCATGCCTTTCTCCCTCCCATCGCCCACCTTGCCCTCCGTCCGTCTTGCATGCTCCCCCAGGTGGTGGTGGATATGAGGGAGTTCGCCAGCAGCCTGCCATGCGTGCTGCACCAGAGGGGCATGAAGATACATCCAGTCACGCTCGAAGTGGGCGATTACATCCTCTCGCCGGACCTCTGTGTGGAGCGCAAGAGCGTGAGCGACCTCTTTGCCTCCTTTGCGTCGGGGCGGTTACATCATCAAGCCGAGACCATGTGCCGCTACTACAGGCTGCCCGTCCTCCTTATAGAGTTCTCCAGCGATAAGAGCTTCTCGTTGCAGGTAATGAGAGTCTCTTTTTCCTTTGCGTTGGGGTGCCTGCACCACCAGGCAGAGACCATGTGCCACTACTACCACCTACCCGTCCTCCTTATAGAGTTCTCCAGCGATAAGAGCTTCTCGTTACAGGTAACGGGCGTTGCTATTTGCTCCCTTCAAGCCAGAGACCGTGTGCCGAATTTTTAGGCGCCTGAAAAAGTCCATGTGCTGCTGCTACCACAGGCGATAAGAGCTTCTCTTTATAGGTACCGACAGCATTTTGCTGCATCAAGACTCGCTAGCATCACGCCCACCAGCATGGTTCCACCAGCCGAGCCTCACTGCCCGATCAACACTTTGCCTATTTCACTCCGTCTTTCCCCTGGTTCCCATTCCCAGTCAGCAAGTGATGTCAGCAATGACATCAGCCCATCCAACCTCATCCTGTTAACAGTCGCTCACTCATCTCTTTGGATTCCCCCTCTCTTCACCCCACCCTCCTGCCTGTCCCCCCTCTCACAGTCAGCGAGTGACATCAGCGATGACATCACCGCATCCAGCATCATATCCAAGATGTCTCTCCTCGCGCTGCACTTCCCGCGCCTCCGGATCGTGTGGTCCAGATCGCTCCATGCGACGGCTGAGATCTTTGCGTCGCTCAAGACCAATCAGGACGAGCCGAGTGTCGACCAGGCGATGAGGGTCGGCGTGCCGACTGAAGATGGTCTGGTGGAGGGCGACACCAGGTAGGGCAATACCAGGTAGGGCGATACCAGGTAGGGGGATACCAGGTTAGGCGACACCAGGTAGGGCGATAGCAGGTAGGGCGATACCAGGTTGGGGGATATCAGGTAGGGCGATACCAGGTAGGGCGATACCAGGAAGGGCGATACCAGGTAGGGCGACACCAGGTAGGGCGATACCAGGTAGGGCGATACCAGGTAGGGCGATACCAGGTAGGGCGACACCAGGTAGGGCGATATGAGTTGAGGGCAATATGAGGTATGGCGATATGAGGTATGGCGATATGAGGTAGGTAGGGAGATGTGAAGTGAGGAAATAAGTGGTAATGAGGGCTATATGAGGAAATGGGACTTGAGGTGAGGACGGTTGCCATGGAGTTTGGCAGACCATGGTATGGCGTTACCCTTGAAGCGCTTCCAACACGCGAGCCGGAGTATGGAGCTGAGTGCACAGTCTAAAGTGACCACTTAGGGTGGTTGCTCAAATACCTCTTGCTCTCGCTCTCTCTCCCTTGCTCTTTCTGTTATGCACTCGTACCTCGTGCTCTCCACCCCATGCTTCTCTCGCTTATCACTCATCCACCCACCAGAGACGAGCATTTCAACACAACAGCCGTGGAATTCCTTCGGCGCCTGCCCGGGGTCTCTGACGCGAATTACCGCTCATTGGTCGATAACTGCGGCAGCTTGGCTGAGCTGGCGATGATGCGTGTTGATGAGCTGGCACCACTTATGGGCGGCATGCGCTCGGCTCAAATGCTCAGGGATTTCCTTGATGCCAAGTGCCCCACGCTGAAATAGGTGTGTCTGTCTTGATGGAGCTTGCTAGAAACAGTCACACTCACACATGTACCATATTTGTGTACTAGCCAGAACAGATGATATGTTGGGTCCCTCCATGCATTGCATGATTCGATTTCAGGTTCTGCCACATGCCACGTAATTTACAGCACAGGATGGGGTGATGATGTTGAATTGAACCACATGGCATGGAGCAACAAAAAGGAACATATGATTTCAGCATAATCAGTGTTACCTAGTCTTCCCTTGTCGTGCGAGTAACGCGCTACCCTTTATCCGCCTTCCGCAGCCCATCAAAAATTGTTGCCCTCACGCATTACACTTCCCCTGGCGGTGGCCAGTGCTGTACCTCTGGGCTTTTCACCCGACTCCGCTTGATGCAAGCCGCTCTCTGCGTCCGCACTCATTCGATGAGGCTCTAACGAAATGGCCAAGCTTTTGTTCCCGTAGCCATGCTTTCATCACGCGGGATGGACAGTGTCGTGTCCGGTCGTTTCATCTCAACCCGTTTCACTCCGCGGCATTTCATGTCGGTGCGTTTCACTTTGACGCGATGTACCCGTTGCCAGGCCGCAGCAGCAGCAGGGAGAAGCAGTAGATCAGGCTTTCCGTGGGAAGGCAAGGTAGCGAGGCGCTTACGATGCCGTTTTGGGAAGGGGAGTCGAGAGGGGGATCCATCCACGTGTGTAGAAGCAGGGTATGAAACGGCTGCATTCACCGGATCCGGACGAGATTCGCTGCCGAATAGCCATGGGAGTGCGACGAGTGCGACGACTAGAAGATTCGCCTGGCGCTCATACAGCAGCGGCAGCGTCGTCAGCGGCAGCAGCGAAAATGGTAGTAAAAGGACTAGGGGATCTTCATTCACGCACATGAGTCCGTCAGAGGCGGAGTGGCGGCTGATGCTGACGGAGATTGGGGTGCAGCCACGTAAGATGTCTCGCATTCTGACTCAGTACCACGCCATGCCTGCTGACGTGGCAATGGAAAGACTGATTTTCCTCCAAAGCCTGGGGGTTGACACGGGAAAAGCCCTTTCTTCCTTCCCCAAACTTTTATTCTACCCGCCTTCAATTGCCCGAGCCATGGCGGACTACCTCACCTCCATTGGCGTCCAACCGGGCTTGATTGGAAAAGTTTTGTCCGCCTGCCCACAGCTCCTCGGGCTGAGTATCGAAAACAACATCTGCCCAACAATCTCCCACCTGGTGGAAGCATGGGGACTCGACCAATCGCGTGACATCCCTGTGGTGATCTCGCGCCACCCCCGCTGCCTAACCTACTCCATTTCAGAAAACCTTCAACCCACCCTAGCCTTCTGGCTTGGTTCGGGGATCACCAAGCCTGCGAAACTCATCCGAGCCAACCCATCGATCCTCGGGCTTTCCATCACGAAGCGGATTCTCCCCACTATTGCCGCATTTGACAGCTATGGCATCCCCCCTCACCATACCATCAACATGCTCCAAAGATTTCCTCATCTATTCAATTACAGCTGGAATGATAACTTGATGCCAAAGCTTCAGTACTTGGAAGAAGTGGGCAGGGGTATTGACGAGGCGGTTCAGTACCCGCAGTATTTTGGGTACAGTTTGGTTCGGCGGATTCGGCCGAGGCTCGGGGGTGTGGCTCGGGCCGGACTGCATGTGAGCCTGAGCTTTGTGCTGCGGCTCAAGGACGAGGATTTTGAGAGGCTGTATGGTGACGTGTGTGCGGAGGAGGGGGGGGGAGAGGAGATACGAGGGAGGGACATGAGCAGGAGTCTTGCTTGCGAGAAGCAAGTTGAGGCAGTGAAGGAGTGCAGCAGTGGACTAATCTCTATGTGGAGAGGCCAATGCTTTTGGTGAGCCCAACTTGTCCCGCCCCCTCATCAACCTGCCATCTTATTCCCCTTCAGTCCATGCTGATCTTGTTCTCTCATTCTGTACCCTCTTTTTCCTAATTTGCCTCCTCTCTTCCCGACCCCCACCACCTCCCCCTCTTGTTATCACTTTCTTCCTCCATCCCACTTGTTCTTACATCCAATGTTAGTTGGGTGCTTCTCACTTCCCTCAATGCATGGCATGATATCTTCCTGCCTTTTCTGCTTGTTATTCATCTAATCTCAGGTTCCTTGCACAACTGTTTCTACTGTAAATAGTTGATTTGAGGTGTAAGCTTCAGCCTTTTTCCTTGCCCACTGCCATGCGATAAAGTCTCTGTGCATGCCTTCAAGATGGCGAGGCAACAATCCACATACCCATTTGAAGAAATGCTAAGTTCTAGCAACGTCCTATGAGCTCTCAACTCAACTTCTCAGGCTGCTCCCCGTTATTAGCCTTTGAATCGAACAGAAAACTACAGCCAAATTACTGTACTTTCTGCCATTTCCCCTGCGCCTTCGATTTCAGGTCAGGTCCTTCCCAAACACACCAAGGCTCGTCTCGAAGCCAAAACCAACTTCGGTCTGACCACCCCAAGCCAAAGTAGGTTCGTTACCAAACCAGTTCCTTTGAAGTGAAGCAATTACATGATTGGGCAGGCCGTGTACAGTACAGTCTCAAAGGAGCATCACATTTGACACGGGAATGACACGAAAAATGTGGCAGCGACACACTTGGGCTGGCAGTACGGTATCCCTGGTCTGGACGGGTTGGTTACGTTTCAGCTCGGTTCAGGTGGATGCCTCTAAGGGCAACCTGCCTCCTCTGCTCCCCCCCTCGCACCCCCCCCGCCTCTGCGCCCTCCCTTTCCCCTTCTCCCAACTCCACCCTGCACAACCACTCCACCCCACTCTATTCCACTCCATCCCACCCCACTCGAAACGCAGCCCAGCAGAGTGAAGATCCTGGATCAAGCTTTTGTCTGGTCTCTGCTCTGCTTGTGGGGGTAGTTGTGAGATACCAGCATCCCTCCATCGCCTGATTTCTATCACTTCCGACCAACTGCGCACACCAGCCGGCTGTTTCAGGCAATCTGGTGCTGCTGACTTGCTCAACAAGCGTTGAAAGCTAGATTAGGCGAGAAACAGACCTGTGTTGCGAGGGATTTTCGGATGAAGACGCTACTACTGAGGAAAACCGCTCCAGGAGGTTTTCTTTGATTCAGAAAGTACTGATGCACTCGCGGGGGCGGCACCGACGACCAGGCTAGTTGCGTGTTATAATCAAGCGATCAGGATTTAAGGCGGAAACGCAGGATGAACGCAGGCAACGGCGTGTTCTTTAGGAGCCATGCGTGGGAGGAGCCGGGCGTGGAGAAGGGGGTTGTCGAGGAGGAGGCAGTGGAGGAGGAGCAGGAAAGCAGAAGCAGCGACGGGGACCTGGATAGTGATTTCGACGAGGAGACCGAAGAAGGGGAAGCGGAGGAAGAGGGAGAAGAGGAGGATGGGATTGGTGACATTAACGACCGTGATACTAACGATCACTGTACGAACGGTCACGGTCCCAACGGTTATGGTACGAACGATCACGGTACCGACGGGTGTGGTGCGGACGATAACGGAACCGGCCCCGCCTTGAACGGTCATTCTACTGGGAACATGAGCCCTGCCGGTATTAGCAGGAAGAGGGGGAGGAGCCCGAGTGTGCCGGACTTGGCGGGGGGAAGGGATGTGTTTAGCTTGAGAGGCCATGGTTTTGAGTCGAATGATTTGGAGGATGGTGGGGAGGGTGAGAATGGGAGGGCAAAGGAAGTGAAGGAGGAGGAGGACGACGAAAACGGAATTAGTGAGGATTTGGAGGACGATGACGGAAATCGTTTGGCGGATGACGCAAACGGAATTGGTTTCGAGAATAACGGCCCCGCTTTTACAGACGGCCGAGATGACGGCGATTTCGTTTTAGACGGTTCCGTCAGGGGGACTGCTGGGGAGGAGGAGGAGGATGACGTTTTTGAAACGACACCCAATCATGTGTCCTCGGTATACGCGCACTCGTTATATGCGTCCCCGTTATCCGCGAATTCAGTGGCCCAAGCTCCCGTGAACGCGAGCGCATCAGCCGCTGCAGCTGACGGGTTAGGGTTTGGTCTCTCTGCAAATCGGCCGTTTGGTCTAAGAAGGTTCTTAGAAGTAGCAGGTGCAGGTGAGGGGGACCGGGGTGCGACTGGTGCGAGTAGCAGAGTTGACGCTGACGTGGCTGAAGGTGAAGGTAACGTGGCCGAATGTGGAGCTGACGTGGAGCGAGCTGGGGAAGCCGCTGTGCAGGCTGCAGAGGCTGACGTGGCAGCAGCAGAGAGCACGACCGAGGGGGTCCTCCCCGACGAGGTGATCCTCGAGATCATCGCGCGGGTGTCAGACGCGCGCGCGCGCAACTGCTGCGCCCTCGTCTCCCGCCGATGGCGCAACAGCGAGCGCCTCACGCGCACCTCCCTATCCCTCCGCCGCTCCCTCGCGGACCTCCTAAAGCTCCCCCTCTGCTTCCCCAACGTGCGCCGCCTCGACCTCTCCCTCTGCCCCCCCTGCGGGCAGCCGCTGCTGCTCGTGGGGACCGCGCTGGAGGTAGCTACAGTGCTCCGCACGGCCTTTCCGCGGGTGACCTCCCTCCGCGTGCACGTGCGCGACCGGAACGACGTCCAGTGCGTGGCTGCCACGTGGCCATGGCTGGAGGACGTGGCTCTGATCCGCTGGCACGAGTTTTCAGCAGCGGAAGCAGCAGCAGCAGCAGCAGCAGGTGGGGGAGCAGTAGGAGGAGCAGCTGCAGCAGCAGGGCATAACCACCACCACCACCACAACAACGACAACCATAATCGTACCAATGGCACCGCTTTGAACGCCAATCCGCTGGGGACCCTGGAGCTAACGCCTCTGCTGGTGATGTGTGGGAAGCTGCGGAGCCTAGACCTATCGGAGTTCACCTGCTTTCCCGACCATGTCTCTGACGCCTTCACTGCCGCCCCCCAAGCCGCCGCTGCCATTGCCACTGCTGCCGCCGCCGCCGCCACCGCCGCCGCCACCGCCGCTGCTGCTGCTGCTGCTGCTGCGTCAGCCAATGGAGCAGGAGGAGGAGCAGCAGCAGCAGCAGCACCCCCCGGCAAGCCGCCCCGCGCCCCTCTCCCCCGCCCCCACGCGCCCTTCTCCGCCCTGCGCCACCTCAACCTCCTCAAGTCGTCCCCCGGCGCCTTCAAATCCTCCGACATCCGCGCCATCCTCGCTGCGGCCGGCCGCGCACTTCTCTCCTTCCGGTGCCTCACGGAATTCGACCCCCGCCTCGCCGACTCCCTCACCGACGAAACCCTAATCGAGATTGCCGAGCGCTGCCCAGCGCTCACTGCGCTGCAGCTAGTGGATTCCTCCCTGTGGGCGGCGCCCTCGGGGCTAGCGCTCCCGCTAGTGGATCAAGACACCCTGCCGCCGGATATGGATGCAAGGGTTACGCCGGGGGGCGTTCGGTCGTTTCTCGCGCGGTTACCGGGGCTAGAGGAGCTGGACCTGAGGCCCGCGCAGTACTTGAGGGGAGCTGATGCGAGCCTGTTTGGCAGTGCTGCTGGTGGTGGCGGTGTTGCTGGTGGTGGTGGTGGTTTAGGGAGGGGTGGGGTGACTGCAGCGGTGAGTCTGGGGCAGTTGACTCCCAACCTGAAGCGGTTGCGGCTGGGTCAGCTTGTTTTCGCCCACAATGATTCCCTGGGAGCGGTCACTGCGTCTGGGGAAGGTACATCTGGAGAGGGTTTATCTGGAAAGGCACCGCTTGCCGCTTCCCTACCTTCCTCCACCTCCTCCCCTCCCTCGTCCTCCCTCCCCTCCTCATCCACTTTACAACCATCATCTGCTGCCTCCCCTCCCCCCACCTCCACCATTCTCCCCAGCGGTCTCGAGGCTCTAGACTTCTGGCAGGCCCCCTCGCTCCCCCTGCGCTGCCTGCTCCCGCTCGCCCTCTCCTGCCCGCGCCTCAAAGAGCTCAGCATCTGGGGCTGCCCGGACCTGACGCCGCCGAGCCTGGAGGCCATGGCTCGGGTGTGCCGGCATTCGCTGGTTCGGGTGACTGTAGTGAAGTGCTGCAACCTGCCCACCGCAGCGGTGCTGAAGGCTCTTTCCCCTGTTAAAAGCACGCTGCAGCACCTTCACTGCTCCTGCGACTGGCTCTGCCCCAATCGCGGCGTGGCCCCTGTTTCTCCGATTCACACTGGAGCTAATGGTACTGGTGATGGTGGTGCGGGTGGTGGTAATGGTGAGAGTGCAGGGGAGGGTATGGCTGGAGCAGGGGCAGGGATGGTGAAGCAGCCAGGTGGGAGAAGGCTGGAAGGCATGGCAGGGACAGACAGTACAGAGGAGCTGCTGTGTGACCCTGAAGCAGAGCATGCGTCGACTGCAGGAGAATCCTCCTCCGAGTGGCCCGCCCTGCAGTCTCTCACTCTCCTCGCCCCCCTCGGAGCCCTCCTTTCTCCTCTCCCCTCTGCCGGCCTCCTCCACTGCCCCGCCCTCTCTCACATCCACATTCGAGCGTACGGCGACTGCCGGCTGGCTGCAGGTCCTGAGGCGGTGGGGTTCGGCCTATCCTGCCTCCGCAGCTATCCCGCGGTTCGCTCTCTGCGCCTTGATTTGACGCAAGTCGTGGGGCATTCTCTTAGCTGCCCGCCTGGGCTTGCTTTTGATGTGATGGCATGGGAAAGGTTTTACCTGCATGGGATTCAGCTGCTGCCAGGGCTGGAGTCGCTGCACTATTGGCCACCGTCCGACTGCGATCTCAACCGTCGATCCATGTCGATGCCATCGGCGGGGATTCTCGGGTCATGCCAGTCGCTGCGCCAGCTGGCGGTGCACTGCACGACGGCCAATGAGCATCTGCTGAATGTGGTGGTGCGCGCAGCCAGGGGAATGCGGGATTTGCATGTGCTGGGAGATTGCTATCCGGCCCCTCCTGATGACACGTACGCGGGCATGCTAGGGCCCGCTTCATTTCGCAGGCTGATAGATGTGTTGGATGCTCGAGGTTATCCTGATTAATATTTTGTGATAGCCACTGGAGCTTTTGATATCAACATACCAATAGGAAAGCTGACATTGGATAACGTCCTTATGCCCTCGTGGTACTAGCATAGTACCACATTTTCTGGTTTTAGGTAATACATCGTCTGTTTTGTTTGTTACATCGGTTTTGTTTTTGGTGATTGCTGTGAGGTTTGATACTGTCTGAACGAAGTGGCCACTATCGAATTGTTCAGGTCCTCCAGCCACTGACGCGGATACTGAACTCTCCCTGGAGGTGACGCTGCCAACTTCGAAGGTGACCGCAGCTCTCCTATTGGTCACGACGACAACCATCCACCCCACCAAACCAAGCCATCATCAACCAGCCTCGCCATCGCATATGTGTACTCGGGCAGCCCGACCACCCTTTGTGGGTACATTACCCTCGCTTGTGTAATTTACCTCAACCCTAGTCAGCAGCGTGGTCCTATCCATTCCATTCCATTCCACCAGCAAAGCCACCTCTATTTTCCTCCGCCTCTGCTGCTATCTTCCAGCAGAGGCCATATCTGCTGTCTTGCCGCTATCCATCTAATATGCTTCTGCCGGTTTGCTCGGCGGAGCATGCATGTGCTAGTTAGCTGCTAAGGTTGCACGCGAGCAGCTGCTGAAGCTGTTGCCTGCTAAAGCCCCTAGCTGGTTCGCTTTTAGGTGATATATGGTAGCTGTCAGCTGCGACCTAGTTTGCGGCTAACGCTCCCCTTTCTCACGCTGGATTCGTGGAGTGCCGACGGTTGACGTCAGATTCAAGACACTCGGACTGCGATCTCCACGAACGGTCGTTCTGCGTCGTTTGGCCAAACCGCCACGCTTCGACGGCGGTAGATTAACCCGGCTGATGAGGATGGCTCGACCTAGTCGGACTAGGGTTAGGTCGTCTCACGGGTTGTGAGCCAAGAGGCCTAGATGGTAAGCAATCTTTTGAGTCGACTCGAACGTGGCTGGTAAGCAAGCGGGCTGCAGCTTGTGCACCAGTCTATCGTTCGACGCCTGGTTCAGTTTTGCAGCGCGGCTCGCGAGCCTCTTATCTCACTGCAGTTTTCGACTTGAACCACCGCCTTCGGCTCGCGAGCCGCTTCATAGATTCCGGCTGTCTAATGTCCATAGCGAACGTCCCGCGTGTAGATTCGGGAGAGGAAAAGCAGCAAGTCATGCCAGTTGACTCCAGAGCGCGTCGCGTGACGTACCTGATATCCTGCCTCCTACTCGGCCTCTTACTCGCCGCCTGCTATCTCTCCCGCGAGTATGTGGGCTCGCTGCTGCCTCGAGTTACTGTTTCCGTCGACTTGTCGGTGCTAGCGGCGCTGCTCGTCGGCGCTGCCGGCTCGCTCTCCATCAACTTCCTCCTCCAAAGAAACTTTGCCCTCATCCCCGTCTCCGCCGCCGCCGCTCCCGCTGCCGCCGCTGCTGCCGGCGCAGCTGGCGCGGGGGGAGGGGGAGCGGGGGAAGGTGCGGGTGCGGAAGCTGGCGCGGCGGGCGGAGAGGTGGGGGATCCGGGGCCCGGGCTGGTGGCGTTCGACATTCCCGATAACGCGTGCTACTTCTGCGTGCGCCGACCCGCCACCTCCAAATGCGGCAGCTGCAGGTAGCGCGCAGATAGAGGGCAGTCTGGGGTACTAGAGGCGTGTTAGGCTGCTGCAGGTGCTAAAGGCAACTGCTGGTAGCGAAGCAGTAGCTGACTCCGTCCCAGATTGTTGATACCGCCGCCACTCCCGCCACCAACCCCCGTCCGCAACTCTCCCCTCCCGCTCCCCTCCTCCCCTCCCCCCCCCCCAGGCTGGTGTACTACTGCTGCCGGCTGTGCCAGATGCAGGCGTGGCGGAAGCACCGGCACGTGTGCGGGGCGGCGGCAGCAGCAGCGGCGCGCATACAGCGCACGCGGGCGCTGCTGACCCCCTCGCAGTGGCGCGCGCTGGGCGAGTACGGGGACGCCGTGCGCGCGCTGCTGCCCCCCCACCTGCTGGTGCCGACGCAGCCGGACCTGGTGGCGGCGGCGCTGCTCAAGATGGCGGCGTACGTGCGGCAGCGCCCGCACCTGGTGACGCAGCCCATGGCGGACGCCGTGTGGGGCGCGGCGCTGAGCATGCGCGGCGAGGGCCTGGCGCCGCGGCTGCACATGGCGTGGGCGTGGGGCTTCCTGGAGGCGTCGGTGGAGTCGGGCGGCGTGGACGCGTTCCTGGGCGCGCTGCGCATCGACGCCCACGGCGCCGCCGACCTCCCGCGCGTGAACCGGTGGATGAAGCGCGGGCTGTGCCAGGCGCTGCTCATGCTCAACAAACGCCAGGAGGTCGGCGCCTTCTTCCGCCACGCGCCCCGCCAGCAGCTCCTCTACTTCTGACCCACGGAGAGGGGGGGGGATGGGGGGTAGGGGAGGGGAGAGGAGTACAGATTGCACGTTCCCCGCCAGCAGCTCCTCTACTTCTGACTGGGGGGGAGAAAGGGGGGGGGAGAAAAAAGGGGGGGGAGACGGACAGCAGCTGCTCGATGGCTGATGAAAGGAAAGAGGCGGGGGGAAGGGGGATGGACTGATGGCAGCTGCTCTTCTTCCGCCAGGCGAAAAGGAGAGGGGGAGGGCGGGTGTGAGGGGGGACAGGCAGCAGCTCCTCTGTTTCTGACCCAATGGAGGGAGGGGGGGGATGGATTGATGGCAGCTGCTTTTCTTCTGCCAAGCGCCCATGCAGCAGCTGCTTTACTTCTGAAAAAAGGGGAAAGGGGGGGGGGTGGGGGGAAGAGGGGAACAGATGGCAGGTGGTTTACTTTACCGCGCCCAGTCAGCAATATGCTGACGTGGGATGGATGGCAGCTGTCCTGTTGCTAACGCTGAGCACGACAGATGGTTGTTGCATTGGTCTGCACACCTGCTGTTCTTCTATAGGGGAACAGAACATATACCCATGCAGCTGCTTCTTTGCTTCTAATGAAGGCAGGCCGCAGCTGGTTTACTTTGAGTGGGACTCATTACAGCTGGGTGTCCTAGTGAGAGGCTCTTTACAGGGTAGCTGGTTTACCTCTATTGAGTACAAACAGCAGCTGCGACAGTACTTGAATGGGCAGATAGCAGCTGCTACAGTGCTCAGACTAGCAACTGAATATGTCTGTGTTCCTTCTTGAAGTAGATGTTTTGTTACGTTGCCCTTGAAACAGGCTTTGTTCATGTCATTTGCTTTGTGGCAATGCCCTGGGTGTAATGGTTGCTCTGCTAATGTGCAAAATGGTGGAATGGGTCCAGGGGTGAATGGACTAGAGTAGGGCTGAGGTGAGGAGACTTATAATGCTTAAATCCTGAAGAGTATAGCAGCTGTCATTTATTGGTGTGCCTTTGGGAGTGGCTACACATATTATTGTCATATCATTCCATTCCAACACATAGAAGGCTCTAGATTGTAGCTGCAACATGAAGTGAAATGTTTTGTCAATATAAATTTTGTTTGGGTTGTTTTTGTTAAATTATATATTATGTTATATAATTGGTAGGCTTGGTAGGTTACCGAACTCTACTGTTGAGGGTACAACTCCCTCCTTGTATGCCTCTCTTTCTAGTCTCTCTCTCTTTTCTCTCGTCAACTTTCTCTCCTAGCTCCTAGCTCTTAGACCCTCACGCCATTTCATGGCCGCCTTTCTTCCTAGCTAGTCTTTTAACATGGTATCAGAGCGGGTTTACCCTTCCCGGGCCTGCTCCCCACGCTTCCGCCGCGTACTCCTCCTCTCCCTCGCACGCTGCCATGGCGGCCGCGTCGAGCTGCTGTGGCGGCGTCGTAGCGCCGCTGGCCGCGTTGTGCCGCGGCCGTCTCGACGCGCTGCCGTGGTGTCGCGCCGGCGTGGCGTCGACGTCAAGCCGTGGCGGCACCGTCGACGTCCAGCCGTGGCGGCGTGACGGCGCCGTCGTGTTGCTGTCGCAGCTTCGACGTCCCGCTGCGGCATCGACGCCGCTCAGTGACGGCGCGGTCGCGCTGCAGCCGGCCGTGCTGCAGCCGGCCACGCGACACCTGTGGCGCCGCTAGACCTGCCGCCCACGCGCCAGCCACACCCCCCGTCATTCCCCTGCGTCCCCTTCTCCTCACCACAGCCGACGCCTAGCGCGTGGGGGACCCCATCGCCGCCGAGATTGGCCATGCCGCCGAGAGGGCGGGGCCGCTGCAGTCGCCTCTGACGTTGAAGCCGCCGCCGCCGCCACTGTTGCCGCAGGCGGTTGCTGCTGCACGCCGTCGACGCCGCCGCTCTCGTCACTGCCGTGGCTGCCGCCATTGCCATCTCACGGGCCGTGGGGGCTGGCCCCACCAGAGTAGACGTGGCTGATGCTTGGAATGGGGGTGCTAGGTTAGGGGGTGTGGGTGTGTGTGGGCTTGTGACTACCAAGCCTAGGGGGTGTGTCAAATTATATATAGTGTTATATAATTGGTAGGCTTGGTAGGTTACCGAACTCTACTGTAAAGGGTACAACTTCCTCCTTGTATGCCTCTCTCTTTCTAGTCTCTCTCTCTCTCTCTCTCTCTCTCTTTTCTATAGTCAACTTTCTCTCCCAGCTCCTAGCTCCTAAACCCTTACGCCATTTCATGGCTGCCTTCCTTCCTAGCTAGTCTTTTAACAGTTTAAGCATTCCTCAACATCAGTTGTAGGTGAAACAAGGAGTTTTTGCTGTGCGTCGACTTTTCTCGATCGTAAACATAGAATCGCAGCTGTCTTTGGAGTGTGACTTGAAGCTGAAGGAACCTTGCGTGCTGTATTGAATCCTTCGCTTCGGTGCCCATTCAGGTCGGGGCAGCCAAAGAAGTTCTCATTCGGCGCGAAATGGCCGTTCGGGCAGGGAATCCCCTGGGCCACTGGGAACTCCAAATTCCATCACTGACCGTAGAAATGTTATCAGGCGAGACCGCGGGAAATTCTCTCCATCTTGAACCTCCATGATGCGCCTCGAGAACTCTCGAATCGCGTCGCATCGTGTTCGACATTGCCGTCTTGAACGACACAATGCATTTCCGACGGTGCTCCTACTGTTAGAATAACTGAACGATTAGAAGGAAAAGGGAGCAAGGGAGATATAGGGTTTCATTTGTACTCTCTAAGAATACATACCTATTCTTGCCTAAAACTTCTATATGCAAATGTAGGTATAAGTTGACACAACCCCTCTAGATAAGGGGTAGTGCTGAGCAAGAAGCACACAGCCCAGGGTGGCACTACCAGTCCAACCTCAAAGACAAGGGTCCGAAGACCAGTCAGCAAGAGTACAAACAAGATAGGAGCAAACGAGGGCGGCACTACTAGTCCGGCCACTAGAAGAGAAGCCACAAGGCCAGCCTGAAATATACATATAAAGATGATTACACAATCAAGATCCTAGCAAGTGAGATTCTACAGGAACTAGACCAAGCTGCAAACAGTGTCGATGATGATCTTTAGGCGCAAGCGCCTTAGTAAAGATATCAACTGTATTGGCACCGGAGCCCAAGTGTACTACGCGTGCCTGGCGGCCCTGCTGTAGCTCGCGCAGGAGGAAGTACCGCAGCTGGATGTGCTTCGCTCCGCCCTCAAGTCGAGGCTCCTGACACAGGAGGATCATGGCCCTGTTGTCAGCGTACAAGACCGGGGCAGAACTAGGCCGCTCACCTAATACGGTGAGCAAGAACGTCAGCCAGTGGAGCTCCTGTGCCGCCATGGCACTGGCGTAGATCTCAGCCTGACAACTAGACTGGGCAACAGACGAGGAGCGAGTGGACCTCCACGAGATGGCACATGAACCAAGGCTAAAGCAGTAGCCCTGGGAAGACCTAAGGGTCTCAGCGTCGTCTGCCCAAGAAGCGTCTGTGTGCCCAGTAAGGACCACTGGCCTGCGTCCTCCCAGCACTAACCCCATGCCCGATATACTTGCTAGATAACGCAGAACCCTTTTAGCGATCGACAATTGATGTGGTCGGTGTCTGCCTGTGGCCACAAAGCGAGCAAGGATGCTGAGACGGTATGCGAGATCTGGACGAGTGCAAGTCATCAAGTACATGAGGCAACCCACCAGCTCTGCGTAAGGACCACTAGGCTCTAGTGCCTCCTCAGGAACTGGAGCTGAGAGCCTGTGATCTACTGGCAGAAGTGTGGGCTGTGCAGAGGAGAACTGAAGACCGAACCTCTGAAGGACCTGGCGCACCAAGTGTGACTGTGTGAGAGTGATGGTGCGCGCTCCTCTGTCCCTGGAGATCTTTAGGCCAAAGTAGCGGCGCAGCTCTCCTAGGTCAGTGCAGGTGTGTCTTCTCAGCAGCTCGGCCTTCACGGAGGCTAGCACGCCTCTGTCTGCAGTAGCGAAGACCAGGTCGTCTACGTAGACAAGGATGTAGAACGGAGTCTGGCCAGAACGAACGAAGAGCGAGGGGTCTGCAGAAGACGGAAAGAACTGCAGGTCAGCTAGCGTAGCATGCAGCGTGTCGTGCCACTCATGGGGCGCCTGTCGCAGGCCGTAGACTGGGCGCCGAAGAAGCCACTGGGTCACAGGAGGGAAGGTACCAGTAAAGCCCTGAGGACGGCGCACGTAGACCTGCTCGTGTAGGTTGCCCTGAAGAAATGCAGTGGAGAAGTCGAGGGAGTGTAACTCGTAGGCACGATGTGCTGCTACGTGTAGCAGCGCTCGAAGAGTAGTCATCTTCGGGGTCGGAGCAAAGGTTTGAAAGAAGTCCACCCCCTCTCGCTTACTCAAGCCTCTAGCCACGCAGCGCTCCTTGAACACAGGCGGCTCTCCAGGGGGGCGCTTCACCTTGAAGAGCCACCGGCCATCGACTACGTTCACCCCAACTGGGGGAATTGCGTCGACATACAGTGACGGAAAAAACTGTCCAGATGTTTGGCATTAATTAGGTTTTTTAGGCTTTTCGACCACGGTACATAAAGTCTTAATGTTTAATGGTGGTACGCTTTTGGAGGGGCACATAGTGGATGTGTTCACAGCACTTACGTCCATAGTAGTACACTGCATCTAACTTAGTGCCAAAAGTTATACAAGGGGGTCATCCGGACAGTTTTTTCCCGGAACAAAGCGTTAACTTCCGAACAAGTTTCTAGTACCTAGTACACCGACCCTTGGCCTTGATCACCACCCGCACCCTCCTAGGCATGTTATCTACGAGGTTAGTGCAAATCGTTGCAGAGATCTTCTCGCACTCTTCCTGGACCCTCCCTTTTGCATAAGGGGGTGAGCACTAGGAAAACCGCGAGGGATTTGAGTGTCTGCAAGTTTTTTGTGCACGATTTCTGTTTGAATGTTATGTATAAGACTAGCCACACTGAGGTATGACCAAAGATGCCATTAGCCGATTAGTTCCATCTTATCATGGGTCGTTTTCGTCGTACCGCTGTAGGGTAAAACCATGAACAGAGCGGCAAAAAATAGTGTATATGCCATGAAACTGAGGGTGACGTACCACGGTTGATTATTCATCCTTGCACTATCAGAATCACGCTAGGATCTGCATGTCTCATCACGGTGTAGCATTCGAAGAAGTTGCGACTGTTGTGGAAGAATATCCAAGTTGAGGTCAGGTGAAGAAAAGGGGCATTGAAGTTAAAAACCATATTATTTTCCTTCTCATTTGTAGATTCTGTCCGACCTATGCAGCGTGTCTCGGCATCGTGTCATCGGCGCGTCACGGCAAAGGCGGAGGCCAAGAACCTATAGAAGCAGACAAGCGCGGATCCGCCGTCATCGTCATCGGCAGCAACGGACGCCGCTGCCGCAACAGCACCCCAGCGCGCTGCGAAGAGCCGAGCGTTCCTCGCCTCACGCCGCCCGACCGTGGTGACGCCATTCGGGTCGCTCTCAGGTAGGTAGGAACGGTAGGAAGCCATAGAAAAGGTTTTAAGCTAGGAAAGCTGAGGAGAGAAAAGGGGGGAAGAATAGAAGAGAGAGGCATACAAGGAAGGGGGTTGTACCCTCTATAGTTGGTTGCAATAAGACCTACCAAGCCTACCAATTATATGACAAAATATATAATTTAACACACCCCCTGGGCTTGGTAGTAACAAGCCCACACACACCCACACCCCCTAACCTAGCCCGCCCTTTCCCAGCAGCAGCCGCGATGACTCCGGAATCAGTCAACACCCACGGCCCGGGAGATGGCAATGGCGGCAGTCGCGGCAGTGATGAGAGCGATGGCGGAGGCGGCGTGCGGCGGCAACAGGCCAGCGGAGGCGGCGTGCGGCGGCAACAGGCCAGCGGCGGCGGCGGCTTCAATGCCCAA